AGGACTTTTGGTTACAAATTCCTTTAACTTTTGTTTGTCTGGAAAAGATTTAATTTCTCCCTCATATCTGAAGAATATTCTTGCTGGATAGAGTATTCTTGGCTGAAGATTTTTATCTTTTAAAGCTTTGAATATGTCACTCCATTCTCTCCTAGCTTGTAAGGTTTCTGCAGAGAAATCCGCTGACAGTCTGATAGGGGCTCCCTTGTAGGTAATTCTCTTATTTCGTGCAGCCCTGAGTCTTCTTTCTTTGTCATTACTTTTTGCCAATTTTACTACTATATGCCTTGCAGTAGGTCTTTTTACATTGACAAATCTAGGAGATCTGAAAGCTTCCTCTACACACATTTCTCCCTCAATCCCTAGATTTGGGAAGTTCTCTTCTATAATTTCATTAAGCACACTTTCTGCTCCATTTTCCTAATCTACGTTCTCGGGAATTCCTATGATCCTTAAATTGTTTCTGCTCATTGAATCTGCTGTCTCTCTAATACTTTCCTCATTCCTTTTAATCCTTAGTTCTCTTTCTTCCTCTGTCTGGAGCACTTCAGCCTGTCTATCTTCGATTATGCTAATTTGCTCTTCTCTGGAGTCTACCCGGGCATTCAGGGAATCCATATTCTGTTTTATCTGGTCCACTGTGTTTTTCATCTCTAGTAATTCTGTTTGATTCTTGTTTATAATTTCAATCTCTCTTGTGAAGTAGCTCCAGAACTCGGCTTGTTTCTCTTTCTCTCTACCTCATTGAGTTTTTTGATTATAGCTGCTCTGAACTCATTTTCATTTAGTTTACCTAATTCCAAGTCCTCCTGACTTAATTCTGTGTTTTTATTGTTTTCCTTCTGGTCTGGGGCTTTTATAAATTGCTGGATGGTAGAGGAGGAGTTTTTTCACATGGTGGTAGAATTCGTTTGCAGTTACCGTCTCTCGCCACTAGATGGGGGTCGAGAGCCGCGTGTTCTGAGCTCTCCACCTTCGGGCAAGATGGCTGTGCCCTGTGCGCTTTGCCGGGCGGGGCTGGGAGCGGTTTCTCTCATGCACCGCTCTGGATTCGATCAGTTCTGTTCTCTGGTCTCCTGTCCTGCGTTTATGGGGTCCCCGCGCCCGGAAGCTTTCCCCTGTCAGCAGGTTTCCACTGTACCGGCGGCAGGAGTCCTAGACGATGTCCTGGTCGCGCGGCCCCTCCCCCACTCCTTCCCGGATGCTCGCGGCCAGCCCGGTTTCTAGGGGATGGAGCGATGTTCTCTCTTACCCAGTTCCAGCTCCTCCGAGGCGGGCAGTAGGGGCTCCGTCTTCTGTCTTTTGAGACTGTAGGTCTCTGAGTCCTGGCATTAGGTTCATCAGCTGAAACTCAGGGGGTTTTTTGTTTTCTTTTTTTTTCTTCCCAGTCTTTTGTTGTACTTTGGAGGGGACAGAGTCCCGGGTCAGCTCACCTGCCATTTTGTTCCACAGCCTCTGTTCTGAACTTTTAAGTTGTTCTTAAACAGAAATATCTTCTAATCTTAGAGATAAGGTCACACAGTTCTTTTTTTTTTTTAAAGATTTTATGTTTTTCCTTTTTTCTCCCAAAGCCCTCTGGTACATAGTTCTTTTATGTTGTGGGTATTTTTAGTTGTGGGTTCTTCTAGTTGTGGCATGTGGGATACTGCCTCAGCATGGCCTGATAAGCGGTGCCAAGTCTGCGCACAGGATTCAAACTAGCGAAACCCTGGGCCACGGAAGCAGAGCGCGTGATCTTAACCACTCTGCCATGGGGCTGGCCCCAAGTCACACAGTTCTTAAAGATTAAGTGTCAACCCTAAGTAACTAATGTTACTAATATAACTATTAATCCTTCTCTATGTTTGAATTTTGTATGAATATCCGTTTATCTATTTCTGCTTTTGCTTCATTCACCTTGATGTAAGAATGTGGAGAAATGCTGGACTTTAAAGCTTTCAATCATAGTATGAAGAGACAGGTGATAGTGCCTTTTTTTCTAGACTGCGTCACAGATTTGCTGTTTATTTTCTAAGCAGTTATGTTTTACTCAGGATTCTGTTTTTGTGCAGTCATGTTTTACTCAGGATTCTGTGTTATGTACCGTAAGATGGACAGAGAACTCATTTATCACAGAAGGATTTTAAGGACTAATTAGACACCGTGTATAAAACCTTCAGACTCTTTATACTTGAATTTTGTAGTTTGTTACTCTCCTCTGAAAGTTACTCTTTTAGAATAGTAGATAACTACTAGCTTTTCACCAGGAATTGTGTATTTGTGTTGAAATTCTGTCTGAGTTGTCCTCTTGGTATCTGATAGCACACTTCTCTGGTATCATAGCTTAGTGGAAAAGTACTTCTGAAGTTAATACATTTGTCTTATGAGTACAATGTGTTCTACAAACAGGACTTCTGAGGAATAAAGATAGGCTTAAAATTTGAAACTTTGGAAGTGTTTTTTTCTTCTTCTTGTCCTCACTCCATGTAAATCATTGAGTGTATCACGTTAGTTCATTTTTCATTATTTTCTGTAGTATTGTCCTCTTTTCATTCCCACTACTACCATCCTTGTGTCGGTTGTATCACATCTTTTTGGGATGATTACCATGGTCTTACATAATGATCACTTGTGTTGGGAGCCCCCAAGACGGTCTCCAAGTTCAGTGATTTTCTATGAGGATTCATGGCTATGGTTTATTACAGTGAAAGGATACAAAGCAAAATCATCAAAGGGAAAGGATGCGTGGTCAAAGTCCAGAGAAGACTACCTGCAAGCTTCTAAGAGTCCTCTCCCAGTGGTGTCACTCAGAATGCACTTAGTTACTCCAGTATCAAATTGACAACATGTGTGAAGTGTTGTCTATCAGAGGAGCTTATTAGAGACTCAGGTTTTTATTGGGGACTGGTGACATAGGCAGCCTCTGCCTAACCTGTACCAAAATTCCAGACTCCCAAAAGGAAAGCAGGTATGCGGGTAAACTACATTGTACAGTCTAGGCACTGTGAGCCACTCTGTATCAGTGTAGGGAATTGTTTACCATCCAAGTTTCCAGATGCTAGCCAAGGGCCAAACTTTAAGCAGGCCTTTTGCAGATTAGCAGTCTTAGGGCTGCTATGTTAACTGTTTCTGCTCACTGCTTCTCTCTGTAGTCTTTCTCATGCATTGCTTTCATTTAAAATTTTAAGATTGATGAGTCTTTGGGAGTTCATTATTCAATTCTGTCTTGTTTATATTTGAAATTTTCCATAATTGGAAATTTCAAAGTATTTGATAGTATGTTTATCATAGTGTTTCATTTTTCAAAACCTGTCTTATTTCCCTTTTGAATATAGGATAAGATCTAAGCTTCTTAGTTTGAAATTTAAGATGAAAGTTCCAGTCTTCTTTTCTACTCTGTATTTGTGAGTATGACTATTCCACTCTGCCCCTTCACCAGCCAGACCAGTATATTCTGTCTCTTATTTACCTTTAAATCTTATCTATCCTTCCAAGGCCTACTTAGTGTCTTCTTTTTCTGTCAGGTTTTCTTTACAATCCAAACCCGTGTGCTCTTTTGAAGAACTATAGAATTTATTCATTTATCTGTTTTGGAGTTTATGTTGCCTTAACTTGAAACTTTTTGTACGTAGGTCTTGTCTCTTCAACTAGCTTCATGATTTTTTCAGCCAACCAGCTGACCAACCAACTAAAGAATGTATTGAGTAGTATTTTTTTGAAAGCCTCTTTTTTTTTTTTTTTTTTTTTTTAAAAAAAAAGCCTACAGAGGTTAGGAATCATATCTCCTCTTTATTTCTTATTGGAATTCCTACTTAAAATATTAGACTTTCTTATTCTATCCTCTGTGACTCTTAACTACACTTTTATAGTTTCCATTTCTCTGTGCTGTGTTACAGATCATAACCTCAAATCTCTTCTAGTTCACACATTCTCTCTTCAGCTTTGTCATTGGCTGTTTAACTGATTACTTTGAGAGTTTTATGTTTAGACTGTCTATTATAGAAAGTTTCAAATGTGTAAAGTTAAACATAATAATGAACTTCCCTCCCTCTCCATACCTGGGCATCCAGGTTCGACAGTTAAGCCTTCTAATAGAATGCAGTTGGATTCTCTTGTCTCTTTCTACCTTTGGTCTGTTTTGATATTATGTGTCACATATCCTCTGGAAGACTCACACTATGTTCCTGCAAGAATGAGAGTGAGAAAAGCAAATAACATCTTAGAATTACTATGAAAATAGTTTGATGTTGCAAATCCCCTGAAATAGTCCTGGGCTCCCTACAGCCCACTTTGAGAACTGCTGTTCACAAGGATGATAAGCACTTTAAATCTCTACCTCATGTGGTTTCAGGGGTGGGTGTTTGAAACTCAGTGTCCAGTGCTTGTATCCTGTTAGAAACTTCTGTGAAAACTCAGACAGCAACTTTCCTTTTTCATTCTGGCTTTGCTTCCTCTCCTTGTTTCTGGAAACTGAGAATTTTTCTTTTTTTTTAGTTCATCTATGAAACAAATGTTTTTCTTGTTATAATTTATCTAATATTTCTAGATGTGTTTGTAGTGGCGGGGTGACTTTCTGCATCATCTTATTCTTCGGTTTTGCCACAAATTCAGGATTATGTATCTTATTATGTTTTCACAATATCTGGCACCATTCTATAAATATAATGATAAACATTTTGGAAAGTTATGCTACTGGGGATAAAGTAGAAATATAATAGCTACCTATTAAAATGAGTCTCACAGTGTTTTCCTGGTAAGCTGAGTGGGAGTAATAAAAAGCCTTGCTTCTGTGCTTCACAATAAACGAGAGGCATCTAAGATAATTAAAGGGAACTCTAAATACCAGATAGGAGATAGGATTAGGTATTTAGGTGTATGTAGTAGAGTACAGAGAGCACAGATTCTATGGACTAGATTATTGTAAATGTTATACAATTTTTACCTTTTTTTTTTTAGGACTCCCTTGAGATTTCTTTTGGGCACTTATTTCTTATCTCTCATTTACGTTTTTTTCTTTATAGGAATATGCTCTTTCTGGTTGGAACTTGAATAACATGCCTGTCCTAGAGCAATCTGTTCTTGCACATATTAACGTAGACATTTCTGGTATGAAGGTGCCATGGCTTTATGTGGGAATGTGTTTCTCTTCTTTTTGTTGGCACATTGAAGATCATTGGAGTTATTCCATCAACTACTTGCACTGGTATGTACAATCTTTGTTAACAGCATACTTACTTAGTAACCTTTTTAAAAGTGTAATAATGTTAGGTAATACGTTAGGGAAAGCTGACTTTACAAGTATTTCCTTCCCAAATGTAGGATAATATATTGAGAAGTGTAGAGGTCTAAGGGTACAACGTCTCAGACGGCTGCCCTTTTAAAGTATGTGCGTGCAGCAGAACCTAGAGTTTTAGACCAAATGATACTTGTTTGGTATACATGAAAAGTAGTTTTGATATGCAAGGTAGGATATTTAAAGTTTATATAATTAAGATCTGACTAAACTTTCAGTATTTGAAATTTTCAAATGATTTTTTCCTTTTTAAAAATATTTTCCCTAAATATTTTTATATTATTTTATATTATATATTATACCTGGTACATGTGTATTAAGTTCTTTTGCGGAATTTTTTTTATCTCACCCACAGCTTTTATTTACTTAGATAGTTTCTTGTCCAGTATTATGATCTTAACTAAATGATGTTTTTCCCTTCATTAGAAGATACTGCTCAAATCATGCTATGCAGTGAAAACTCTAGTGATTTTCTTTCTCTGCTTCATTGCTGTGCTGTGTAATATGATAGCTGCTACTCATGTGTGGCTATATAAATTAGTTAAGATTAAGTAAAATTAGAAATTTGCACTCCTCGGTTGCACTAACCACATTTCAAGTCCTGTATAGTCACATGTGACTAGGGGACCCTCTATTGGCTAGCACAGATATAGAACATTTTCATCATCACAGTAAGTTCTATTAGAGACAGCACTGTGAATTGTGTTAGGATTAAGAAATTTAGCTAGTCTATAAATTGCATGACTCATTAAATCCATTTTCTAGGAGTACATTATAAATGAACTTAGTCCACTAAAGTCTAGTGTATTAATGGTGCCAAGTTTTTGGTCCTTAAGATTTATAGATAGAATTCTATTCAAGTTTTCAAAAATTTCTAGCCTTGGCTTATTTCCTTGGATAGTAAAAATGAACTCAATGAAGTTATGCAAAGGTACTCTTGTGAGAGCATTGACTTTTACTTTGATCATTGAAGCAATAATTGGACTGTCCAGTGGACCTGTGAATCAAGTAGTATGTCAGTAGCCTTTCGCACAGTACTTACTTTTCACGTAGTGTCTTTCCTGTTTGAATGTAGTGTTTGCTCATCCACCTTAAAGAGTTCATGTACTTTGAATTGCTTTTCTTATAGTAGTCAGTATGGATCTACCTATCCATATACTCTTGCCTTGCCTTCTATTATGAACAATAGCACAGATTGATGAGATAGTTACCAGGATTCAGGGCATATAATCTGTGGCCATGTAACAAGACAAAGTTAATTATCATTTAGTAGATTTGAGTTAGACACCCTGGCCTCATTGGCATCATGCTCTACCTAGCTAAACAGTTATTTCTTTTGCTAGGGGGGAGCCAAAGACATGGTATGGTGTGCCGTCTCATGCTGCAGAACAACTGGAGGAGGTGATGAGGGAGCTGGCCCCTGAGTTATTTGAATCTCAGCCTGATCTGCTGCATCAGTTAGTCACCATCATGAACCCCAATGTGCTGATGGAGCACGGTGTGCCTGTGAGTCTTTTTGTGTCTCCCTACAGTATTTTAATTTAAGGTTATATTAGCTTTTGATTAGATAGAGTCACAATATATGCTTTGTTTTGTAATTGGAAGTAAAAGATCATATTTATCTTCTAGCCAAATTAGAATTTATACTCTGAAGGGAACAACATTTATTTGATTAAGAAAGGAGTATTTTAGAGCCAGCCCTCATGGCCTAGTGGTTAAAGTTTGGCGCGCTCTGCTTCAGTGGCCCGGGTTTGGTTCCCGGGTATGGAACCACAACACTCATCTGTCAGTAGCCATGCTGTGGTGGCGGCTCACCTAGAAGGACTAGAAGGACTTAAAGTAGAGTATACAACCATGTCCTGGGGCTTTGGGGAGAAAAAAAAAAAAGGGGAAGATTGGCAACAGGTGTTAGCTCAGGGTGAATCTTTCCCAGCACAAAAAAGAAAGAAGTGTTTTAAAGTATGAAATTACACTTTATGTATAGCTACCTATTAAAATAGCCTTCTGTTTTCAGTAAAACATTATATCCTGGTTTTAACAAAAATCTTATTTTCTTTATTATCCCTGTGTAACCGAAGTGTGGGTATTTTAAATGGTAGTTCTAATAATTAATGCTTATCATTTTGGAGATGATATTTCATATAAAGATTGCATGGTTTTTTTTTTTCCTCACGTGAGATAATGAAGTAAAAACATACTGCAAGTACTTTTTCTGCTTTTCAGTCTTGTTTTGGGAATGACTATTAGAGTTAAGCTAACACTTGATAAAGTGTAAATTTAATAAGTTTGCTGTTACATGTAGTCAAATAGTCCTCATAACCTTAATGAGAAAGTAGATTGAGTAATAGTAGTGTTACTTTGTCTTTAAAGAATTTATACTAGAATCTGGGAGTTTTCAAAAGACATATAGTAGTATCATAAAACAGTGAGATTCAGGAAAACTGATTTTTGGGATATCTCCATATTATATATGAGCTAATTAATTACTTTCCAAAAAATTATACAAAAGTAGGAGAAAATTCCATCTTTAAACACTGTTTTCAACACAAGAATAAAAGGAATAAAAGAAAAGTTCTCGTAATTGTAAATTTTATCAAGTTAGGAAACTAGTAGCTTGGGGGATAACATTTTTTCTTTGAGAATTTCTTTGGCTGCTAATTCTTGTGGTGAATTATTATAATTTGTTATCAGTGACTATTTTAAGAAGGTGGAATTCTGGCTGCTGCTTAAACCCTGATATTATTTTCTGATATGTGTAGGTTAATGCTTTATTGTTTTCAATTTTAGGAAATGCTTCTGAAACTGATAAAATCTGTCTCCCTTTTTTGTTGTTTTTATTTTGTTTTGTTTTGTTTATATTCCTGTTCCCAATTTGCATTTAGGTGTACAGGACCAATCAGTGTGCTGGCGAATTTGTTGTGACATTTCCTCGTGCCTATCATTCTGGATTTAATCAGGGCTACAACTTCGCTGAAGCTGTGAACTTCTGTACTGCTGACTGGGTCTGTTCTATAGCAAGTAGCTGTTGTACATCTGCTAACACCCCTGGAAAATGCATCTTAGTTGCCATATTTGCTTAGCTGGAGAGGGTAGGGTTCATGAATATTTCTGTAGAGACTGGAGTAGCTGTTGTAATTTACAAAGTTCAGTTAGTTTCCATTGCAGTTTTTATTTGGAAGATTTTATAGTTCTTTACTTCTCGTCTGTTCATTATTTTCCCCATTCTGTTTAAATTTTAATTGGGTGGTTGATATTTTCTGGATCTTTCTTTTCTGAAGGAATATGGTTCTTTTACTCTTTACTTTCTCTGAGCACTTTTGGATTTTATAAAAATGACCAGATCTTTTCAATAATTAGTTCTATCGTATTTTCAAGTATATAGCTCTGTGATTTTTATTTCCAAATATTCGTTTATTATTTTCCTTCTGATAGACAATTAGGTGGATTTTATTCTTCCTGCTATTTTATGTTTTCTGTACTCCTTTTTGTAAAAGTTTATTTTAAAGAGTAACTATAATATTGAGGTCTCTATGAGCTGTACATTTGTGTAAATGATAGTGCCAGTGATTGCTGTTTTTTTTTGTTATGAGGTAGCTATCAGAAAATAATTAGTTATGATTACATCATGTTGGTTAGGAAAAAACTGCCAATTTATAATACACTCTTTGACTTTATTTTTCCTTTAGTGATGCTGTTTTTTGGTCACCTCTCAACATTTTGGGGGATATTCTTTAGTAATATCAGATCTTACATTTTCTTTGGGCACGTTAATTTATTAAATTTCTTGATTAACCATTTTTGTTTCCTTGGCTAATGACAATCTTATTTGATCTAGTAATTTTAAATTTCTTAGGAAATTTAGGCTTAGAAAGCAGCAAGAGCAAGAGCAGGCTCAGGACTTTGCCTTGGGCTTGAGCTCTGTTTTCACAAATTCAACTAACATTTATTGAATGTTTATGATTTGCTTGCTCCTTGGCTAGGTGTAGGGTGGGAAATGGAGATGATTCAGAGAATAGTTAGAGATGTGCTCACGTTACTGATGTTTGACCTTGGACAGCTCTTTTAATTTCTCTGGGTCTAAGTTTTTTACCTGGTATGTAAAGGTGAATGCTAAGATTCACTTAGTAATCTCAAACAAATGAGGTGATATATGTGGAAAGCCCTTGATACTCTTTAGAAGAAGGATGTGATATAAATGAAAAGTGATAGCAGCTTTATATCTGGAATAAAGTGATAGCACTCATTTCTATAAGCTACGGTGGATAATCAGTTTTATTTTATTTGATGACTTCCTTGCATATTGTAGTAGTTAAGAGCTACTAATCCCACAGTTTTATTTTTCTTCCTCTTGCTCTGACATTAAGGCTATATGAGAAAGCTTTGAGTAAATATTTAAAAATTAAGAAATGAAAGAATTGTATATTTTTAATAGACAAGATAATTGCTAATCATAAGTTCAATATATGTATTTTCTTGGTAAAGATTGTTTCTTTGGAAGAGCATGGAAATAATGCTTGGGTCAGAGATAGTCTCATACTCTCAAACTGTGATTCCTATGATTCTCTTCTGCCTTTCTCAAAATGAAAGTAAATTCTAAAAGGTTCTTAAAGTTTGATTTTCTTATTTTTGTCTTTTGTATTACAGTTTCAAATACAAACAAAAACTCCACTTAGCTATCCAAGTTTTCCCACTTGAGTGTCAGAAAGAAGTTAGAGAGAGAGTCTGCATGTGTGTGTGTGTGTAGTATAGCTAGTATCATAATTTGGTTTAAAGCTTGATAGTTAAAGAAATTTTCCAAATTTATCTTAAAGAGTGTACCTGTTGATTTATGAAAAGTCATCATGTAGTGATTTGTTTATTTCACTTAGGGAAAATAAAGTATATAATCTCATGATTTTCCTTTGAATTCTCTTTAGACCAGAGTGGTTGTTTTTAAAAGAATTTCTAAATCCTAAAATCTAAAATCATCTTTTGCTTTGGTTCTTATAAAAAAAATTAAAAGTCCGTCCATGTGAATTGCTTAAGTAGTGCTTCCCCTCTTCCTCTCTCTCTCTCTATTTTTTTTTTTTTTTTTTACTTCTAATAACATCTATTCTTTTTGTTCTGTGGAAACTGCAATACTGAATTTGTCCACTTAATCTTTCACAGCCTGAGTTTTTCTCTTTTTTTCCTATAAGGGCAGCCTCATGTTAGACTGGTCTAAAAGAGTTTGCTGCCTCATTTATATATCAAGGAACTCACATCTCTTGATGTACATAATGAGTAGAAAATCAGCAGCTTAGGCCAGAATCTCAGCATCTCAAATTGAGGATTTTCTGTGGGAAGGCCTTTGAAATTCCTGCTGGGCCCTAAAGGTTTAATATTTACAGTTACTTCTACATTCAAATGGAGTTTGTTATTCTGTCTATAATAAAAGAGAGGATCTGGAGGATAAATAGTGGTTCTGTTCTGGAATGCGTTATAAGAAATTTAATTTGAGAACCTTGTCTTGATTACAGTTGCCCATTGGACGTCAGTGTGTCAGTCATTACCGACGGCTGAGGCGCCATTGTGTCTTTTCACATGAGGAACTCATTTTCAAGATGGCAGCAGATCCAGAATGTTTAGATGTGGGGCTGGCTGCCATGGTGTGCAAAGAATTGACTCTCATGACTGAAGAAGAGACACGGTTAAGGGAGGCTGTTGTACAAATGGTGAGTGTGCTGGGCACATTTCCTATATTTGATACTGCTTATGGAATATACTAAAAATTGAACCAGTAGAAAGGATCCATTTTCATCTTTGATCCCTTTAGAAGTTGAACACAAAAATCACTAGTTAGGAGAAGGTTTCATATTCTTATACTTGACACTTTGGTTTCTTGAAGGTGAAAAAGGTGGGAATCCTGATGTCTTCATGTCTAGATTTTTAAAAACAGAATCCTATCAGGTAGAATTTCTTAGGTATCTATCTTATTTTTAAAAGTTCCTGTGTATAGTATTATTTCTTTAAACAAGAAAGTGCAGGGGGCTGGCCCCATGGCCTAGTGGTTAAATTTGGTGTGCTCCACTTCACAGCCCGGGTTGGGTTCCCGCAAACGGACCTACACCACTCATTGGCAGCCATGCTGTGGTGGTGACCCACATACAAAATAGAGGAAGATTGGCACAGATGTTAGCTCTGGGTGAATCTTCCTCAAACAAAAAGTTTAGGATTGGCAACAGATGTTAACTCAGGGCGAATCTTCCTCAGCAAAACAAAAAGTTCAAATCCTTTTTTTCTTTGAGCTTTTAATTGAATAAAAGTTATGTTTCTGGTGATTGCAGACTGTCAGAGTGAATTAATCTGTCTTTTTTCCCTCCTTCATAGTGTTTTAATGATTAGGAAGGACTGAATAACCAAGGGTTGGGATTTTGAATGCTTAGAATAAACATTTCTCACATTGAAATGGGAAATATATGAGAAAAATCTGTGTCTCCAGCATCGTCTTGGCCCGTTCTCCCTAACCCTCCCTACTTAGCTAGCCTCACTGGATTTATACCGTGCTTTCTTCTGCTCTTATACAGCCTACTCTGTTCTGTTTTTTAAACAGCTTTGTAATTGACATATAATAAACCACGCATGTTTATAGTGTATAATTTGGTAAGTGTGATTCTGCATATACCCATGAAACCTTTGTCACAATTAAAGTAATGAACATACCACCTTCAAAAGTTTCCATATGCCCTTTTATGATCTTTCTTTCTATCCCACCTCCTCACTTCCAGGAAAGCACTAATCTACTTTCTTTAGTTGGCCTTTTTTCTTTTTTAGTGAGGAAGGTTGGCCCTGAACTAACTTCTCTGGTAGTCTTCCTCTATTTTGTATGTTTGTTTGTGGGATGCTGCCCACAGCATGGCTTGATGGGTGGTATGTAGGTCTGTGCCCCAGATGCCCCAGATCTGAACCTGTGAACCCCGGGCCACTGAAGGAGAGTGCACAAACTCAACCACTATGCCACTGGGCTGGCCCTCTGCCCTCTTTTTTTTTTTTTAACATTTTATTTTTCCTTTTTCTCCCAAAGCCCCCCAGTACATAGTTGTGCATTTTTAGTTGTGGGTACTTCTAGTTGTGGCATGTGGGATGGCACCTTAGCATGGCTTGATGAGCAGTGCCATGTCCATGCCCAGGATTCGAACCGGCGAAACCCTGGACTGCTGAAGCAGAGCATGTGAACTTAACCACTCGGCCATGGGGCCGGCCCCTGCCTTTTTTGTTTTTTTTTGAAAGGTTTTATCTAAATTGAATTATACAATTCATACTTTTTTTTGTCTAGTTTCATTCACCTAGTGTAATTACTTTGAGATTCGTCCATGTTGTTGCGTGTATTAATAGTTTATTTCTTTTTATTGCCAAGTAGTATTCCATTGCATGGATATACCACAGTTTGTTTATTCATTCACTTGTGAATGTATATTTTAACTGTTTCCAGTTTTTGCCTGTTATGAATTAATCTCTTCTGAAAATTTCTGTACAAGTTTTTATATCAACATATGCTTTCATTATTCTTGGGTAAATACTAGGAGTGGAGTGGCTGGGTCATATGCTATGTGTACTTTTTGTAAAAAGCTGCTAAACTGTATTCCAAAGCATTTGTACCATTTTACATTTCCACAAGCAGTCTGTGAAGAGTTCATTTGTCCTACGTTCTTACTGACACTTCGTATGGTTAGTCTTTTTAATTTTAGATACTCTTATAGGTTTGTAGTGGTATTTCATTGTGGTTTTGACTGTAATGAGTAATGATGTTGAACACCTAAATGTTATTACAAAATATTTAGGGGCCAGCTCAGTGGCGCAGCAGTTAAGTGGACGTTCTGCTTCGGCAGCCCAGGGTTCGCCGATTCGCATCCCGGGTGTGGACATGGCACCCCTTGGCAAGCCATGCTGTGGTAGGCGTCCCACATATAAAGTAGAGGAAGATGGGCATGGATGTTAGCTCAGGGCCAGTCTTCCTCAGCAAAAAGAGGAGGACTGGCAGCAGACGTTAGCTCAGGGCTAATCTTCCTCAAAATAAATAAATAAATAAATAAAGCTGGTTTTTTTAAGAATTTAGGTTAACTTAGAAATAAGAATTTTTACTAAATAGTTAGATTTCTTTTTCTAGTTGTTTGAATTACCTGTGATAGAAACAAAAAAGAATGAGATACAAGTGAATCTTAATTTCTTTTTAATTTTACTTCTTGAGATATGTGAATGTATGATCTGATAATTAATATTCTTTTTTTTTTTGATAATTAATATTCTTACTTTATACCTCTATTCTTTTTTTTTTTTTTTTTTTTTTCCCTTTTCTCCATAAAGCCCCCGGTACATAGTTGTGTATTTTTTTAGTTGTGGGTCCTTCTAGTTGTGGCATGTGGGATGCCACCCCAGCATGACTTAATGACTGGTGCCATGTCTGCACCCAGGATCCGAACTGAGCCCTGGGCCGCTGAAGCAGAGCTGGCAAACTTAACCACTTGGCCACGGGGCCAACCCCCTATACTTCTATTCTTTTTTTTTTTTGAGGAAGATTAGCCCTGAGCTAACTACTGCCAGTCCTCCTCTTTTTGCTGAGGTAGCCTGGCCCTGAGCTAACATCCATGCCCATCTTCTTCTACTTTTTATATGTGGGATGCCTACCACAGCATGGCATGCCAAGTGGTGCCATGTCCACGCCTGGGATCTGAACCAGTGAACCACGGGCCACTGAGAAGCAGAACATGCGAACTTAACTGCCGTACCACCGGGCCGGCCCCCCCATACCTCTATTCTTAACAAGTCTTGTTTTGATTATTTTTTTATTAGCCTTTTGATTTTATTATTTTTTTATAAAACTTTGTTTTTTGGGAGTAGTTGAGAGTTCACAGCAAAGTGAGGGGAGGGTACAGTGATTTCCCATATATCTCCTGCCCCTACACATTCATGGCCTCCTGTGTTATCAACATCCCCTACCAGAGTGGTGCATTTGTTACAGTTGACAAACCTACCTTGACACATCATAATCACCCAAAGTCCATCATTTATGTTATGGTTCACTCTTGGTGTTGTGTATTCTATAGATGCGCATGAGTATTAATGACATGTATCTATCATTATGGTGTCATTTCACTTACCTAGAAGTCCTCTGTGTTCCACCTCTTCATCCCCTGTCCCCACCCCCCAAAAAACCCTGGCAAACACTGATCTTTTTACTGTATGGTTTTGCCTTTTCCAGTATGTCATATGTTTGAAATCATACAGGGTGTAGTCTTTTCAGATTGCCTGCTTTCACTTAGTAATATTTGTTTGATCCCTCCCTGTCTTTTCATGGCTTGATAGCTCATTTCTTTTTGGCTCTGAATAATAGTCCATTGTGGATGTACCACAGTTTTTAAACATTCACCAATGAAGGACATCTTGGTTGCTTCCAAGTTTTGGTAATTATGAATAAAGCTACTATAAATATCTGTCTGCAGGATTTTGGGGTTTTTTTGGTGAAGAAGATGGGCCCTGAGCTGACGTCTATTGCCAGTCTTCCTCTTTTTGCTTGAGGAAAATTGTCATTGAGCTAACATCTGTTCCAGGCTCCTCTATTTTGTATGTGGGATGCTGCCACAGCATGGCTTGATGAGCAGTGTGTAGGTCTGTGCCTGGGATCCAAACCCGCAAACCCCAGGCCGTCAAAGTAGAGTGTGCGAACTTAACCACTATGCCGCTGAGCTGGCCCCTGTGTGCAGGTTTTTGTGTAGACATAATTTTTTCAACTCCTTTGGGTAAATACCTAGGGCCACAATTGCTGGACTGTATGGTCAGAACATGTTTAGTTTTGTAAGAAAAGCTGCCAAACTTTCTTCCAACATGGCTGTATCATTTTGCGTTCCCACCAGCAATGAATGTGTTTCTGTTGCTCCACGTTCTCGTCAGCATTTGGTGTTCTCAGTGTTTTGGATTTTGGCCATTTTAATAGGTGTGTAGTGGTATCACATTGATGTTTTAATTTTCATTTTCTTGATGACATACGATATGGAGCATCTTTTCATATGCTTACTTGCCATCAATGTATCTTTTAAGGTCTTTGGCCCAGTTTTTAATTAGGTTGTTTGTTGTCGAGTTTTAAGAATTCTTTGTCTGTTTTGAATAACAGTCCTATATCAAATGTATCTTTTGCAAAGGTTTTCTCCCAGTCTGTAACTTGTGTTCCCATTCTCTTGATAAGTGAGTTTTGCAGAGCAAAGGATTTTACTTATAATGAAGTCCAGTTTATCAATTGTTTCTTTTATGGATTGTGCCCTTGGTGTTCTATCTGAAAAGTCATTGCCAAGGTCATCTAGGTTTTCTCTTATGTTATCCTCTAGAGACATAGTTTTGCATTTTACATTTAGATCTGCAATACATCTTGAGTTGATTTTTTGGAAAGGTGTAAGGTCTGCTAGATTCATATTTTTGCGTGTGGATACCCAGTTGTTCTGGCATCATTTGTTGAGAAGCCTATCCTTGCTCCATTGTATTGCCTTTGCTCCTTTGTCAAAGATCATTTGACTATACTTATGTGGGTCTCTTTCTGGGCTTTCTCTTATGTTCCATTGATCAGTTTGTCTATTCTTTTGTCAATACCGTACTGTCTTGATTACAAGTATAGCTTTATAGTAAGCCTTAAGTACTGTCAGTCCTCCAACTTTATTCTTCAATATTGAGTTGGAAACTATGAGTCTTTTGCCTCTCCATATAAACTTTATAATCAATTTGTTGACATCCATAAAATAACTTGCTGGGATATAGATTGAGGTTGCATTGAATCTATAGATTAAGTTGGGAAGAACTGACATCTTGACAATATTGGGTCTCCCTATCTAGGAATATGGAATATCTCTCAATTAATTAGTTCTTCTTTGATTTCATTCATCAGAGTTTTGTAGTTTTCCTCCTTGTACATGTTTTGTTAGATACCTAAGTATTTCTCTTTTGGGGGTGCTAATGTAAATGGTAATGCGTTTTTAATTTTAAGTTCCACTTGTTCATTACTGGTATATAGGAAAGAGATTCACTTTTGTATATTAAACAATCTTGTATCCTATGACCTTGCTGTAATTGCTTATTAGTTCTAGGAGTGTTTTTGTCAGTTCTTTCAGATTTTCTACATAGATAATCTTGTCACCAGTGAACAAAAATGGTTTTGTTTCTTCTTTCCCCATCTGTACACTTTTTATTTCCTTTTCTTTTCTTATTGCATTAGCTAGGACTTCTAGTATGAGGTTGAAAAAGAGTAGTGGGAGGGGACGTCCTTGCCTTGTACCTGATCTTATTGGGAAAGTTTCTCGCCATTAAGTGTGATGTTAACCCTAGGTGTTTTGTTTGTGTGTGTTTGTTTTTGAGGAAGATTAGCCCTGAGCTAATGTCTGCTGCCAATCCTCCTCCTTTTTGCTGAGGAAGACTGGCCCTGAGCTAACATCTGTGCCCATCTTCCTCCACCTTATATGTGGGACGCTTGCCACAGCATGGCTTGACAAGCAGTGAGTAGGTCCACACCTGGGATCCGAACCTGCAAACCCTAGACCACTGAAGCGAAACGTGCAAACTTAAACGCTGTGCCACCAGGCCAGCCCCAACCCTAGGTTTTTTGTAGATATTCTTTATCAAGTTGGAGGAGTTCTTCTCTATTCCTAGTTTATTCAGAGTTTTTATGTGGAATGGGTGTTGGATTTTGTCAAATGCTTTTTCTTCATCTATTGATATGATGACGTGATTTTTCTTCTTTAGCCTGTTGATGTGATGGATTATTTTAATCAACTTTTGAATGTTGAACCAGCATTGCATGCCTGAGTTGAATCCCACTTGGTCATGGTGTATAATTCTTTTTATTCATTGTTGGATTTAGTTTACTAATATTTTATTGAGGATTTTTGCGTCTATGTTCATGAGAGATATTGGCCTCTAGTTTTCTTGTCTTGTAATGAATTTGCCTGGTTTTGGTATTAGGGTAATGCTGGCCTCACAGAATGAGTTAAGTATTTCCTCTGCCTGTCCTCTGAAAGAGATTATAGAGCATTAGTATAATTTCTTCCATTAATCTTTGGTAGAATTCGTCAGTCAACCCATCTGGGCCTGATGCTTTCTGTTCTGGAAGGTTATTAATTATTGATTGAATTTCTTTAATGGATATAGACCTATTCAGGTTGTCTTTTTCTTTTGTGAGTTTTGACAGCTTGTATATTTCAAGGATTTGGTCCATTTCATCTAATTTATGAAATTTGTGGGCATGGAGTTGTTTGTAGAATTCCTTTATTATCCTTTTACTGTCCATGGGACCTGTAGTGTGATGTCCCCCTCTTTATTTCTTATCATAGTAATTTGTATCCTCTTTATTTTCTTCTTGATTAGCCTGGCTAGAGGCTTACCAATTTAACCTTTTCAAAGAACCGGCTTTTAGTTTCATTGACTTTTGTCTGTTGATTTCCTGTTTTCAATTTCATTGATTTCTGCTCTAATTATATTGTTTCTTTTCTTCTGCTTACTTTGGACTTAATTTGCTCTTCTTTTTCTAGTTTCCTAAAGTGGAAACTTAGATTATTCATTTTATATATGTTTATTTAAAATGGAATTCCTTTTCCCATTGCCTAGAGTCTGTCTTTTGACATTTGAAATTTAAGTACAGTGGTAGAGACTCATGAAGTAAGTTTTTCTGGTATAGTTTTGTATTTCAAACTTAACCTGTATCATTAATGGAGCACTCTTTTTCCTTATTCTGCAATAATTTGAATATCACATCTCCTGATGACCTTATTTATGGTGCTTTGATCAGATTTCTCTATGGACTCTCTTCCTTTAAACTTACCTTTTTCCTGTGCCCTTATTTCCAGATACTTTTCTCTGCTCTTACTTTGCATTATGCACTTGTCTTTCCTATCTTGAGGTAAGTTTTCACTTTATCTCATCCTAAAAAACTTCTTGGGTGGTTTTTCTGTGGTCAGTGCCCTCATTTCCTCTTTATCCCTTCATCATCACTGTCATTCTGAAATTCTCAAAGTGTGCTAGTGACACCTTTGTTGTCAACTCCAGTTGATGTTTTTCTTTTATCCCACGACCTCTCTATTGCACTATATATTGCTTCCTTGGTTTCTTTCCCTAACACTTGCTCTACTCTTTCTTCACCTTCTGATGATACTTGCCAGTCACTTCTGGTTTTCATTTCCTCATCTTCCTCAACTTGTCAGTGTTGCAGATTTCAGCCTTTGACCTTTTGTTGTTTTCCTCTTTGCTAGTTTGCAAGGATTTCTTAGCCATTCTAAGGATTTCAACTTTCTTTCAGCTGTTACCTTCTGGTTTCGTTTCTCACCTCTGGATGTTTTCTCCTATTGTATGCAAATGCAAGAATTATTGTCACTTTGAAAGAGGTGATATGTCTAGTCACCCATTTGTAATCCACCTCTCTGTGTGGTCACTCTACGTTTCTGTTTAGATTTTTGTTATCTCAGTTTCAGCATCTAAAATAGAAAATCAAAAAAAAAAATCAGAGGCTGCCCCTGTGGCTGAGTGGTTAAAGTTCCGCACGCTCCACTTTGGTGGCCCGGGTTCTCAGGTTCAGATCCCCGGCAGGGACCTGATTGGCACAGATGTTAGCTCAGAGCAAATCTTCCTCACCAAAAAAATAAATAAAAACTAAAATAGAATATCATCCTCTCTCCCTCTGTCCTTTCAAAAGCCGTTTTCCTTTCCTAATTGCCTATCTCAGTAAGTGCCAGGATCATTATATAACAACTTAGTGTGCTCCTTGACTCATCCATCTCCTTGTAATTTTCAGTATTTGTTGTCTTTTTTATTTTGGCACTATCTGTCATCGCTCTCCCTTTCTGCCCTTTTTTCTTTATTGCTACCATTCTGTTTCTTACTTTTCTCACCTGAATTATTTTCAAATAGCCTTTTAATTTATGTTTCTGACTTTTTTCTTCTTCCCATTTGCTCCTGATAATTTGTGTTTTTCAAAAGTGTATTCTCAGGAATAGAAGCTATATAATATGTTAGAATGCACTACAAGAAAAAATTGTTCTGTGATAATAAAAGTTTGGGAAATGGTGAGTTAAGAAAAAATAAATGGGATTCTTTGCTGTAAAACTTCTCTGATCCTTTAATATGCTGGTGTTCATTATTAATCTCTAAGTTGAGAGGGATATAATACACAGCATTTCCTCAAAAATAATTAATTTTTTTGCAGAATATCTTGTAGAATTAGTGGTCCTTGGAGTACACTTTGGGAAATGGTATGAAGTTTCTTGAAGCTGCCAGAACTTTGTTAGTTGATGCATTAGCGTCTCCTGAAGCTGTGTAAATTCTTGTAAACTAAGAAACACTTGCAATATATTTTGGAATCATCTTTGCATAAAAATCATTTTTAAAGAAAATGTTGACTACTAATATGAGAAAATGGAAAGATATGAGAGTATAGTCAGGATATGTCTAGATTAAACCAATAGCAAAACCAAAATATATGTTGAAAGAACAAGACTGTGTCTGCCAGTGAAGAACACTTGCTGTCTTAGTGCAATTAGGTTTCTAAGTGCCTTGCTCAAGTAAGTAGAAACTGTAGAGCCCTTGTATGTTAAATGGCAGTCTTTGTAAAATGCACTTCAAATGCTCTTATTTTCTTAAACTGGCATGCTGAATTTGATTGACTTTCTTTTAGATAGCTTGCTGAAGTAGGTTATATTTTGATTTGCATAGTTTGAATAATTTTATACTTCTTTATCCTTGCATATGTTTGTTCGTATCAGTGTTATTTTCAGATCACAGATTACTGATAAATCTGGTTCAAGGGTGTATTATCCCTGGGACAGTAATCTTTTGTTTTTAATTAATCTTTTTCTTGTTTTAAAGAGAAGACAAAAACACATAAAAGGAATATTATTGCTTCATGAATTATTATGTGGTAAACTTTGCTGTCTTCACAGTTCTGGTCAAGAAATAGAACTTTGTCAGCCATCCCAAAAGTACCTCCCAGTTACAACCTTCTTTTATTCCCCTCAAAAAAATGACTATTTTGACCTTTTTTGTAATCACTTCTTTGCATTTTTAAAATAGCTTTATCAGTCAAATGTGCATTCTTAGACACCAAGGTTTAGTCTTGCCTATATTTTAAAAATTAGTAATGATTAGTTTTAGAAAGTATTTTGATGATGTGCCATGTTTATATCTTAAATCAGAGATTAGGAAAAATATTTAATAATAAGTTCTTGAATGCTTGAAAGACTAGAAAGACTTGGTCCAGTGACATGAATTCTATTTCAGGGTGTCCTGATGTCAGAAGAAGAAGTGTTTGAACTTGTTCCTGATGATGAGCGACAGTGTTCGGCATGCAGAACCACGTGTTTTCTCTCAGCTCTCACATGCTCCTGTAATCCAGAGCGGCTTGTGTGTCTCTACCATCCAACTGATCTGTGCCCTTGCCCCATGCAGAAGAAATGTCTTAGGTATCCAGAAGTTTCTTGTAAAAATTATGTTCCATTCTTTTAAACCAAGTGTTAATGTTGTTCTTTGTAATTCCCATTCCCCTGGCCATTGTACTTTTCTTAAGCTGATTGTACTGAAAATTTCATTTATTTTCAACTTGTTGGTTTGTGAAGTTTTTATTTCTGTTTTTTTAGATATCGCTACCCGTTAGAGGACCTCCCTTCTCTGCTATATGGTGTGAAAGTCAGGGCACAGTCCTATGATACTTGGGTCAGTCGTGTTACAGAAGCATTGTCTGCTAACTTCAACCACAAGAAAGGTTAAATATCCTCCTTTTGTATGCATACACTGAAATTGTTGTCACTTTGAAGAGGCCTTGTTTTTTTTTTTTTCATATTTTTCCTTCATTCTAGGCTTCATATGAGATTTCAGACTAATGGGTTGGTTGGCTATAGACTTAATTTTCTATTTGAGAATCTTCTTTAAAATGAAAAAGTTGTTGTAAAATGGGACAGATAGCTCACTTGCAGTAGATAGATATTTTGTGTAGCCATATTACCAGTGGACTAAAATTAAAGGCATATTGAAAAAGAGAAATTGCCTTACCTACAAGGATTAGGAATGAGTACCTAGTCATAAGCTTTTGTGGCATTGGTGAGATTTTCATAGCTGTGGTAATTTTCTGCTAATAGGCTGATGAATCATTTGAGACATTGGTAAATATTTTTAAATGGCTTTTTATGTCGTTATAGTATATTGGCTTTTTGTTTATTTTTACAGATTTGATTGAATTACGAGTAATGCTGGAAGATGCTGAGGATAGGAAATACCCAGAGAATGACCTCTTTCGAAAACTCAGGGATGCTGTAAAAGAAGCTGAGACATGTGCTTCTGTGGCTCAGCTGCTTCTGAGCAAAAAGCAGAAGCACAGGTAAGCCTAAGAAGAGTTGAATTCTATAGTGGTTTTCTGTTTTCTTTTGTTTTTTTTCAGAATAAAAGCCAAAATTTTGACTGGCCTATGAGGCTCTCCATTATCTTTGACCTCTTGTGGCCATGTCCCTCCTGCCTCCAATAATGCCTTAATTGTATCTCCGACTGCTCCTCCCTCCTTCCTGCTTCACTCCCGTCCTCTCCCCCTTACTGTTCTTCTTACACACCAGGCGCATTCCTGCTTGGGGCCTTCACACTCGCTCTTCCTTCTGCTTGGAGCTCTCTGTCCCTGATAGCCAGGAGGCTTGTTCTGTCACTTCTTTGATTCAGGTTTTTTCAAATGTCACATTCTTGAAGATGCCTTCTCTGACAACCTTGTATAAAATTACAACCTTCTTATTGTTCTTTCTTTATTTTTCTTGTAGCCTTGTCACCTCTGATATACTAATTTACTTATTTTATTTATTGTCTTTCTCCTTCCTTTCCCAAACCCACTGGAATGTATGCTAGACTATAATGTCAGGGGTTTTTATCCTTTTTTCATTGCTATATTTCTTGTGCTTAGAACAATGCCTGGCATAGTAGGTGTGCAATAAATATTTGTAAATCAATAAATGATACTGCAGGCTTAAGGCAGGTGGCAGCAAAAAGTAACTGATGAATGAAGAGGAGGCTATTATTAAGGAGCATAGAAGTATGCACCCTTAATTTAAAGTAACTCACATGTGTTAAATTTTCTATGGTATTTTTTCATATTCATTCCAACACATTCCCTATATATGAATGGCTTTTTCTATAGCAGTTTACATTGAGTTTTAAATTACTTTGTAAATTTTTATTTACTATTTTATCAGAGAACCTTTCTTAGAGACATTGATCTGTGAATTTTCACCCGTCGTTGCGTCACTGACACCTTTGGAGAATCTAGTGAAGGCATAGAGACCCTTTTCTAAGAAAAATGCACATATGCAAAATTTTCCATCAATTTCAGAGGATTTGTTGTCTCTTAAGCCAGGTTAAAGGCCCTTGTTCCACATCTCAAGCTTCTTGAGATAGAGGATTTAGTTTTATCAGTGAACTTAGTATTTTACTGTGAGGAATTTATTGAATGTTGAAAGTGTTTAATAACTGTAAGATTGCAGAAACTGTGACTTGGAGAGTTGAATCTTTGAGTCGTTAACTAAAGAGCTAAAAAACTAATTTGGAAGTGCTCACCATTGCAGTGGAATCCCTCAAACGGTAGTATTCTGAGATTACTTGGTTGGAATTCTAAGGAGACTAGAAGCCCCTTTGATAGCAGACTGACTGAATTTTTCTTACTTATGTCTCAATATTATTTCACATCAGGCAGAGTCCAGATAGTGGGAGGACTCGGACCAAACTGACAGTGGAAGAATTGAAGGCCTTTGTCCAACAACTTTTTAGTCTTCCATGTGTCATCAGCCAAGCTCGACAAGTAAAGGTGGAGTATTACACTTTTTTTTTCTTGGGTGATATCCTTTGCACCGTCATGCGCCGCATAGTGACATTTTGCTCAATGACTGACTGCATGTCAACAGTGAGTCCCATAAGATTAGTCCCATATCGCCTAGGTGTGTAGTAGGCTATATCATCTGGGTTGTTTAAGTACAGTGTATGATGTTCACACAATGATGAAATCATCTAACTTCTCAGTTAGAAAATGGACACATTTCTCAGTGTATCGCTGTTGTTAAGTGATGTATGACTATAGTGTGGGCTACTGTTTTGGGTGAACAGAATAGTGTGTCTAGACTAGTTTTGGTTTTTGGGTGTTTTTTTGTTTTCTGTGTTTTTTTTGGTGAGAAAGATTGGCCCTGAGCTAACACCTATGCCAATCTTCCTCTATTTCGTATGTGGGATGCCACCATGCATGCCTTGATGAGCAATTTGGAGGTCCACGCCCTGGATCTGAACCTGTGAATGCGAGGCCACTGAAGCAGAGTGCTTAAACTTAACCAGTACGCCACTGGGCTGGCCCCTAGACTAGTTTTTTGATCTGTTTTTATTCTCATACATGTGCTGCTGTTTAAGATTTTTAGTAGACAGTAAGAATCTCTTGGTTTTGTTCTTAGCCTTCAATTCCCCCTTTAAAAATTCTAAAACTAAGGCTAGTTTGGAATTATTTTTTTCTATATTAATTTTAGTTCAGAACCCCCACTTAACATGGATGTAATTGAAATGCAAGAAATTGGTTAAAAGAATCAAAATGTATCAGTGAGTTATTAGTTTATGAGCTTTTAAAAATGCAGAGCTCTGAAATTACCAGAGCCCTGATGGTTTAATGAACATTTAAAATACCAAAAGTATATATCAAATATATTAATCTGCATAGTTCATAATCTTTTGATAGTTTTTGGTTTGTTTTTGTGATTTGGCTCTGGGTAGGGTATCTATGGTTTTTATCAAGGTTATCAACTTGTGAAATCTACTATCAATTGTGTTTTTGTCTTACTCCATTTCATAAGAGCATTTTGATAGTTGACCATACTTTCCTTCCTGACTTTCTTCTCTAAACATCTGTGATACCACACTCTTCGGTTTTCTTAGCTCATTCACAATTCCTTTTCTTTAGTCTTCTTTGCTGTTTGTTTTCTTCTTGACTTCTCTTCTAAGTGTTGGAGTATATTAGGAGTCTAAGCCCTCTCTTTACTCCAGGTCCTGATATCTTCTTATTTGTCCAGTGATGTTAAATATCATCCCCTTATCCTGTTGATTTCCAAACCTCCTGCTCTGACTGCCTTTTTTCTTTTCTACAGGCTTGAATATCCACTTGCGTATTCTAAATTTCCCTTTGGCAGACTAAAAGGCATCTCAGAAGCCTTCTCAGAAGCCTTTTAATGAATCGAAATCCTTGATTCGTGTATTTCCTTTATACCCCACATCCAGTCTCTAAACTAGTGCTGCTATTCTCTCCAAAAAGTATCCCAAAGTGTGAACCATTTGTCCTGGTTTCCGTTGCTTAAACTGTGCTCTGGACTGTTAGAACCTGTCCTTAGACTACTGCAACAGCCTCTTATCTGTTCTCCCTTCTTCTACTCTTTCCCTGAGTTTATTTTGCATTCAGTAGCCAGAGTGACCAGGTAAAATATAAATCAAATCATATCACTTCCCTCTCGTTAAAATTTTCCAGTGGTTCCCCAAAGTCATTAGAATGAAATCCAAACTCATTATAATCTACAAGGCACTGTGTAATCTGACCTCCGCTTATTCTTTAACTACGTTTCCCTTGTCCACTTTGCTTCCTGTCAATTCCTCTTTAAAAGCTTTTGCGCTTATTATTTCCCCTTTCCGAACTGCTCTTCCTCCACCTCCTCTTTTTGGTTTATCTGCCTTCTGTGACCACTATTGTAGAGTAATATACACGCCACCTGCTCTGATCTTTCTCTGTTATGTTGCCCTACTTAATTTTCATATGACGTAAAACTAACTGAAACATTTTATTCATGTATTCAGTGTCTGACCACTTATGTTAAAATGTGTATTCCTTGAAGATAAGAACTTTGTATGTTTTGTTTAATGCTGTGTACCTAGAACAGTGCCTGCAGCTAAGCCAGCAGTCATTAAATATCTTTTGAATGAATTAATCATATTTTTAAGGTAGGAATATGTAACTAATTACAGAGAAGCATATTTATGCCTTTATCATATTTATCTGGTGCCATATTGGTGAGATTATTAGATGGTCTAGTATTTGATAGCTTGCCTGAATTATGTCTATTCCATACTCATTTTGTGTCTTTTAGATTTTTTTATTTTTATTCTCTTGACCTTTTCAGAATCTGCTGGATGATGTGGAAGAGTTTCATGAACGCGCTCAAGAGGCCATGATGGACGAAACCCCAGATTCTTCCAAACTCCAGATGTTGATAGACATGGGCTCTAGTCTCTATGTGGAGCTACCTGAATTAGCCCGACTGAAGCAAGAGCTACAGCAGGCTCGATGGTTGGATGAAGTAAGACTGACCCTATCAGATCCACAACAAGTCACTTTGGATGTCATGAAGAAATTGATAGACTCTGGCGTGGGTTTGGCACCCCACCATGCTGTGGAGAAAGCAATGGCTGAACTACAGGAGCTCCTTACAGTCTCTGAGCGATGGGAAGAAAAGGCTAAGGTCTGCCTACAGGCAAGGTGAACACATATATTGGTGACTGCTGCCTCTTTAATAACTAAATCAGAGAGAAGAATGGCAGGAGAAACATAAGGGTCTATAATTAAATGTTTTGTGCCTTCCTTGATCAGTCACTAAGTTATCAAATGGGTCTGCATATAGGCAGTTTCAAATATGGTGTGCACACTATGTGCAGAGTACTTTAAATGATATGAAGTAATATTTTATTTATTCCCATTACTGATATAGTTAGAAGCTAAGAAATATAAAGCTCATTGCAGTACATTGTTATTAATTGAGAGGTACGGAAAAATGCTATAGGAATCAGGAGGAGAAATGATTGTTAGTTTGAATGGTCAGAAGAGAAGCTTGAGACAAGAATAAGAACTTAGGTAGAACCTCGAAGAATGAGTAGGATTGAAGTGCAAGAGGGGAAGTAGGAGAAATGCCATAGGCTAAGTTTAAGGAAAACGTAGGGTGCTTTTAGGTGACAGTTAAATGGGCTTTACTGGAGTGGAGGATTTATGCAGGAAAGTAGTGGAAGATGAGAATCAGGCATGAGAATGTTAAGCAGTTGCATTAGCATTGGCACCCCATTGGTTTAGTGAGATTTAAGTAAAGTATTAATCATGTTTGACTGTCTATCAACTAATTTGACTCTGATGTTCTTTATGAAAATATTTCTTCAGCTAAGATGATAATATTTATATAATTTCTGTTGTGAGGATGAGGAAACTGGGATGCTTAGAGAGATCACGTAGTTGTTAAATAACAGAGCTCAAATTTAAAGCCTTTCCACTTCATTCCAAAGTCTCCATGTATTTTTACTACTTTGTCAGCCACTTACTTTGCATACATTTGGTAGGAAAAGCCTTAGATGATTTAATTAACACAGTCCTGCTCAGCCAAAGAGGTTCCGTGTATGGTTGACATTTTGCTCTTCAGATGCCGTGGAGGATACATACTAAAATTCATATATAGCTTTATCTAAAATATTTGGATTACCCTGTGTCTTCAGATTCATGACAATTCCAGGAGGTGGGAGCATATTAAATGAGAAAAGCTAAATAACTTTGGAATGCAAAACTATGATTTAGTGTACCTGATGCAACTGATAATAGTCTACCAAATGAAATTTTGTTGGTAGTAATATTTGAAAACTTTTTCACATTTTCCTACATTTAATCAATACTAAGTTTTGGTGATTTTTGCCTCTGAAGTGTCTTTCATAACTATGTTCTTCAACTCCATTGTCACTTACCTAATTATAGTGGTACTCATATTTTCCCTTGATCTTTGCAATTCGGTAAGTATTTACGGAGTACCTTCTGGGCTGTTAACTTATTTTTAAATGTTTCTCCAGGTCTTTGTTCATTATATTCCTGGGGTTTTTTTCTTTAACCTTTCGCTTGACAAAAATCACACTTCCTTTTTCTTGGTGAGGACGATTGGCCCTGAGCATGCATCTGTTGCCAGTTTTCCTCTTTTTTTTTTTTTTGATTGGCACCTGAGCTAACAACTGTTGCCAATCTTTTTTTTTTTTCCCCGCCTGCTTTTTCTCCCCAAACCCCCCAGTACATAGTTGTATATCCTAGCTGCAGGTCCCTCTAGTTGTGGGATGTGGGACACTGCCTCAGTGTGGCTGACGAGTAGTGCCATGTCCGCGCCCGGGATCCAAACCCTGGGCCGCCACAGCGGAGTGCGTGAACTTAACCACTCAGCCACGGAGCTGGCCCCAGTTTTCCTCTTTTTGCTTGAGGAAGGTTGCCCCTGAACTACTGTCTGTGCCAGTCTTCGTCTGTTTTGTATGTGGGATGCTGCCACAGCATTGCTTGACAAGTGGTGTGTAGGTCCATGCCTGGGATCCAAATCTGCAAACCCTGGCTGCTAAAGCAGAGAGCATGAACTTAACCACTACGCCACTGCGCCGGGCCCCACACTTCTTTAAAGCCTAGCTCAAAGCCCTTCTCAACTCTCCTGTGCAGAATTAATCACTACCTCCCATAGTAGTGAGCCTGTAGTAATTTATTCTTAGTTACCAGTACAGGTGTAATTCTTGTATGCTGATAGTTGAGGATAAGGTCTATGTTTCATTCATCTTTGTGTAACTAGGTATTAATGAATGTGGTTGAATTAAATGTACATGGTCAACATTAATGGAATTCTAGACTGTTGCTTTCTACATTGCTAATGCATCTCGGACAATTTCAGATGTTGTGGAGAACTAAAATAGAGGCAATTTAGTGTAGTGAAAAGAACATGGGATCTGAGACTCATTGAATCAGTATTTCAGGTGTGCCGTTTACTACGTTAAGTGACTCTGGGGAAAATAATTGATCTTCTTTGAGTTAAAGTTTTCTTGAAATATGGAAATAAAGATAATAGCTGCTTTGCCTCTTTTATAGGATTGTGGTAAGAATTAAATGAAATCATGTATATGAAAGTTCTCTGAACATTGTGAAATGTTATTTAAATGTTGGTAGCAGTTTGACTTTTCCTCGTGCATCCACCGTAATTTTGTCTTCTTTTTAGACCACGGCATAGTGTGGCAAGTTTAGAAAGTATCGTGAACGAAGCTAAGAACATTCCAGCCTTTCTACCCAATGTGTTGTCCCTAAAAGAAGCCTTACAAAAGGCTCGAGAATGGACGACTAAAGTGGAAGCTATTCAGGTAAGGAGCCTTTTGAATTGTCCTCCCATTCAGATGATACTGTCTCACAGATGAGTCCTTTAAGCCTTTAATTCTTTAGAATAGAATAACCGTAATATAGTTTTGGTACTTAAAAATTCACTTATTCTTCCATCTGATTTTACAGTTCAAAATAAATATTACCTATGTAAACATTTCTTGTTTCTGTTGACTTCCTGCTATGAAAGATGATGGAATTAACCTATTTAATTCTTAGCAGTAGGGAGTTTGTTCCATTCTGTATTCTTTTAATTTTTTACCATGTGCAACAATTACTTTTAAAATAAGAGGCAGAAAAAGAAAGTGAAACTACCATTTACTGAACACGACAATACTCATCTTACTAGTTTAGTTGTTTGGGAGCAGAAATATGAGGGAATGATGTAAAGATAGGACCCTGACCCTCGAAAAAGCATAATCTCTAATTGGAAAGACATATATAGTATAGATCTGTAATTCAAACTAAATGAATTAAGTGGTAGATAGAGATGATTATGTATTATGCTTGAATACATAATATTTCTTCTGAATTATAAAAACCATTATGCAGCATTTACAGTATTGCATATATAGACTCTTTCTTATAAAACTATACTCAAAGAAAAAAGAAACCACCTCTCTTCTATTAAGTTGCTGCCGCCAGAAAGAACATATTCTAGGTGTCAAGTTCTAGTGACTTCTATTTTACTTTTATTTTCAGTTGACTTTTTCTAAGGTCTGCTTGACTGCCACTCTTTCTGTTCTGTTTTTTTAAATCATCTCTGTTTTCATCAGGACACTTCCTCTGTTTCTTTCTTCTTTGACCTGTTTGAGGCAGTTAGTTGTCCTCAAATGTCTGATAATCCTTAGTTGTCTGTTTATTTGTGATTGAAGGACTGAATTGGCATGTATGAGTAGCTGTCCTGTGTTTGAATTACTCTGTAATTTTGAAGGACTTTTCCTCCACTAAGCCCTTCCCTTCAGTGGGAGGACTGGATTGTAGGCTCTACGTAAGTGGACAGCTTGTGTTGACAAGCAAACTCTTCTTTAAGATACATACCTTGGGGGACCAGGCCTGTGACCGAGTGGTTAAGTTCCCACACTCTGCTTTGGTGAGCCAGGGTTTCACTGGTTTAGATCCTGGGCATGGACCCTAGTACCTGTCATTAAGCCACGCTGAGGTGATGTCCCACATAGCAGAGCCAGAAGGACCTACAACTAGAATGTACAACTATGTACTGGGGAGCTTTGGAGAGAAGAAGAAGAAGAAGGAAAAAAAGAAGGTTGACAACAGATGTTAGCTCAGGTGCCAGTCTTTAAAACAAATTTTTTTAAAAAAGGATACATAGCTTGGTAGCAGGCTATGTCTAGGCTTAGCCAGAAGGTGTTCTGTAGTCAGATGGCTATAGTTGATCACAAGAAGGAGTAGTAGTAAAAATGGTATTTCTTGGGGCTGGCCTGGTGGTGCAGTGGTTAAGTTTGCACATTCTGCTTTGGCAGCCCGGGGTTTGCCACTTCGGATGCTGGGTGTGGACCTGTGCACCGCTTGTCAAGCCACGCTGTGGCAGGTGTCCCACATATAAAGTAGAGGAAGATGGGCGTGGATGTTAGCTCAGGGCCAGTCTTCCTCAGCAAAAACAGAGGAGGATCGGCAGAAAATGTTAGCTCAGGGCTAATCTTCCTGAAAAAAAAAAAAAAAAAGTATTTCTTGACCCTGTCTATATCTGAGCTTTCTTTTCTCCTCCAGTTAGCTGTGTATTCTTTTCCTAGTACTACAGTGATTTAATTATACCATTATAATATCTCTTAGGGCTAGAACCTTCTCATTCTTTTTAAAAATTCACTTAAGGGGCCAGCCGTGTGGCCAAGTGGTTAAGTTCACATGCTCCACTTCGGCGGACCAGGGTTTTCACAGGTTTGGATCCTGGATGCGGACATGGCACCACTTGCCAGGCCATGCTGAAGTGGCGTGCCACGTGCCACAACCAGAGGCACTCACAAGTAGAATATACAACTATGTACTGGGGGCTTTAGGGAGGAGAAGAAGAAAAAAAAGATTGGCAATAGATGTTAGCTCAGCTGCCAGTCTTTAAAAAAAGAAAGAAAGAAAGAAAGAAACACACTTGTTGGGCTTCTGTGTATTAAAAAAAAATTAAATTAAAAAAATATATTTATTTATTTATTTTGTGTAAGGAAGATTGGCCCTGAGCTAACGTTTGTTGCCATTCTTTCTCTTTTTGCTTGAGAAAGGTTGTTGCTGAGCTAACATCTATGCCAGTCTTCCTCTATCTTATATGGGGTGCTACCACAGCATGGCTTGACAAATAGTGCTAGGTCCAAACTCAGGATCCGAACCTGAGAACCCTGGGCTGCCAAAGTGGAGCACTCAAACTTAACCACTAGGCCATCGGGTCAGCTGGAAAGATTCGCTTAAGTTTTTTAGCTTGTCTATTTTTCCAGATGTTTCATAACTTTCCAAATGAATTTATAGGCAAATGAGTCACTTAATACATGGGAAATAACCTTTTGTTGGAATGTCAGTATTTAGCACGTGACACTATGCCTTTCCTTCATAGCCTGTGACTAACAGTGAATGTCTGGGATATATACAGTTTCTTACAGGAATGGTTACATTTCTGTCTGCTAGGAGATTCATTCAGTCCAAGGAATCACTCTGAATTATTGTCTACAGGCTTCTGACTTCCTTGAGGTGTTCTTGCTGAGTCCCTGGACTGGATTACTTATCAACCCTCTCATCTCCTGTAATGATTCAGTTATTTAGTAAATTTAAAGCAGTGTATAAGTTCTAAAAATAATAATGATTTCATTACATAGAAATATTGAAACATTGTGACTTAGAAGGAAAAGATCCATTCTCACCTGTGTTTGTATAAAATAAAATGGAGGTGATTTCAGAACTAAAATACTGCTTTGTAGTTGCTGGAAAAATTGTGAAGGCAAGAGAGATTACTGGATGTCTTTTCAGTGGGATACTGGATGTTGTCTGCTGAGCCTTCCAGGGTTATCTGATTCTGGGAGTGCATTCCTTAGATTTTCTTTGACCAAGCTATTTTACAACCCTGTCAGTTATTAAAAAGTGATAGTCATACAAATGAATTTTGTCCATAGAAAAGCAATTAAATTTGTCTGTAATGGAACAGTTGATTTTCACACTGTAGAAAAGATGATTCCCTTGTCCTGTATGATATTAAACATCTGTTTCCATCTATTAGCAGATTCCTTTCTTCATTCCTAATTGCATTTATATATGTCTGTTATTTAGATTGTCCTTTGAATTGGTTTTTACATCTTACTTATTCCCTTATTAATTAATAAAATAAAAATCTTTGACAACATGGGAGTTGGCCCAGTGGTGTAGTGGTTAGGTTTGCGCAATCTACTTTGGCAACCCAGGTTCAAGGATTCACTTCCTGGGTGCAGACCTACACACTGCTCATCAAGCCATGCTGAGGCAGCATCCCATATACAAAATAGAGGAAGATCGGCACAGATGTTAGCTTAGTGACAATCTTCCTCAAGCAAAAAGAGGAAGACTGGCTACACATGTTAGTTCAGGGCCAATCTTTCTCACCAAAAAAACAAAAAGGAAAGAAAGAAAGAAAGAGGGGCCTACCCCGTGGCCGAGTGGTTAAGTTCATGTGCTCCACTTTGGCGGCCCAGCATTTCACTGGTTCAAATCCTGGGTGCCGACATGGCACCGCTCATCAAGCTATGCTGAGGTGGCGTCCTACATGTCACAGCTAGAAGGACCCACAACTGAAAATACACAACTATGTACTGGGGGGCTTTGGGGAGAAAAGGAAAAATAAAATCTTAAAAAAGAAAAGGAAGAAAAAAAAATTTTTGACTCAACGAATTTACACAATCTTTTTTTAAAGGGTATTGGGAGCTCTATTAATTCAGGAGACGCAATTAGGTTTAAAGAATAATGTTTAATAAAAAAATTAACATTAAACTCTTTATAAAGTCTCTTGACAATATATTGCCAGACTCCATAAGAGAATGCAAATTATATGAGAATGTACTTTTATTTTTCAGAGTGGCAGCAATTATGCTTACTTGGAGCAGCTGGAGAGTTTATCTGCTAAAGGGCGCCCTATCCCTGTGCGTCTTGATGCATTGCCCCAAGTGGAATCACAGGTAGCAGCAGCACGGGCATGGAGAGAGAGGACTGGGCGGACCTTCCTTAAGAAGAATTCTAGCCATACATTGTTACAGGTGAAGAGTAGTTTACTTTATGGATGCGTATGTTAGCACCTCGTCAGAAGCTGATAATTTAACACCTATAGGTGGTGGTAGTATTGGTGAGGGTTGTTTCCAGTTTAACTGGTTATGGTTATACAAATGGTTCCCATTAGGTAATACTAAATGTTGACCAGAAATCTGGGGCCTTAGGCAGACTTATTTCTGGTCCACCTTGTGTTGTGTCCAGAAAAATGCAATCAATCTGGATCTTATCTCTATTGTTAAGGGACCCCGTCACTGAAAGATCTTATTTTTCGGAAACATAAATTTAGATATTCATTACCCATTTCATCTTGAGCAGTTGAACGTAGTAGTTAGGAGCATAGGCTTTGGAATAAGATAGTTTCATGTTTGAGGATGGGCCTCCTAATTACTAACTCTGTGTCCTTGGGCCAGTTGTTTCCTTTCTGAGCCTCAGTTTCCCTTGTTTGTAAAATACGAATAATACTACCTACTTTGGAGGGTTGTTGTGAGGATTGAATTAGATAATGTGTATAAAATTTATAAGAAAGTGTCTAGGGCATGGTGAGTGGTCAATAAATGGTTCCTTTTATTATTTTCAGTTTTAAGATTTTTTTAAATTTAAAAAAATTTTTATTTTTTTTATTGAGTTCATAATAGTTTATACCATAATAGTTTATACCATTGTGAATTTCACTTGCACATTATTTCTTGTCCATCACCATAAAAGTGCTCCCCTTCACCCCCTGTACGCACTCCCCAGCACCCTTCCCCTGGTAACCACTGAATTGTTCTCTTTGTCCATGTGTGTGTTTGTCTTCCGCTTATGAGTGAAATCATATGGTGTTTGTCTTTCTCAGTCTGGCTTATTTCACTTAGCATAATACCCTCCAGGTCCATCCATGTTGTTGCAAATGGGATGATTCTGTCTTTTTTATGGCTGAGTAGTATTCCATTGTGTGGAATGCTGTATATATTCCATATATACACACACCACATCTTCTTTTTCCAGTCATCAGTCAGTGAGCACTTAGGTTGCCTCCATGTCTTGGCTATTGTGAATAGTGCTGCAATGAAATAGGGGTACATAGGTCACTTTGGATTCTTGATTTCAAGTTGTTTGGATAGATAGCCAGTAGTGGGGTAGCCGGATCATATGGTATTTCTATTTTTAGTTTTTTTGAGAAATCTCCATACTGTTTTCCATAGTGGCTGACCCAGTTTGCTTCCCATCAGCAGTGTTTGAGGGTTCCCTTTTCTCCAAACCCTCTCCAACATTGTTATTTTTAGTCTTAGTGATTATAAGCATTTTAACAAGTGTAAGGTGGTATCTTAGTGTAGTTTTGATTTGCATTTCTCTGATGATTAGTGATGTTGAGCATCTTTTCATGTGCCTGTTGGCCATCTATATATCTTCTTTGGAAAAATGTCTGCTCATATCCTCTGCCTATATTTTGATCTGGCTGTTTGTTTTTTTGTTGTTCAGTTGTGTGAGTTCTTTATATGTTATGGAGGTTAACCACTTGTTGGATATGTGGTTTGCAAATATTTTCTCCCAATTGGTGGGGTGTCTTTTTGTTTTGATCCTAATTTGCTTTGCCTTGCAGAAGCTCTTTAGTCTGATGAAGTCCCACTTATTTTTTCTTTTGTTTCCTTTGTCCAAGAAGATGTGGTATTCAAAAAGATCCTTTGAAGTTCTGTGTCAAAGAGTGTGCTACCTATATTTTCTTCCAGAAGTTTCACGGTTTCAGGTCTTCAAGTCTTTGATCTATTTTGAGTTTATTTTTGTGTATGGCATGAGAATAATGGTCTACTTTCATTCTTTCGCAAGTAGTTATCCAGATTCTCCAACACCATTTATTGAAGAGACTATTTTTTCTCCATTGTATGTTCTTGGCACCTTTGTTGAAGATTAGCTGTCCATAGATGTGTGGTTTTATTTCTGGGCTTTTAGTTAGTGCTGCTATTTTATCATTCGTTTTCCGGTTCTCCTGCATTTCCTTGGTTTCTCATCCTGCGTATTTCAGCCTACCAATTAGGTTATGTAGTTTTTTATGCTCGGTTTCCTAGTTCTCTCCTTATTTATTATTTGTGTCTCTGTTCTGCTTTTTTGTTTAGTGGTTACCATGAGGTTTGTATGAAAAATATCATAGGTAAAATAGTGCATTTTCTGATGGCCTCTTGTTTCCGTAGGCTAAACTGATTCAGTCCCTTTTCTCTTCCCCTCCTCTGTTGTTTTTGTCATGTCTTATTCCATCTTGTGTTGTGAATTTGTGGTTAAAATGACAAGATTATCTTTGTTTTTGGTGTTTTCCCTTCCCTTTATCTTTAATGTCATAGTTGAGTATTTGCTAGCCTGCTCTGATTTATAGCTACAATTTTATGATTTTATGTACCGATTTATCTCCTTACTCTGGGCTTTGTAACCCCTTTCTTCCTCCTTTTTCCCCTAGGTATGAGGGCCTTCTTGAGGATTTCTTGTAGGGAGAGTCTTGTGGCTATGAACTCCCTTAGCTTTTGTTTATCTGGAAAAGTTTTTATTGTTCCATCATATCTGAAGGATATTTTTGCTGGATAGAGTATTCTTGGCTGAAAGTTTTTGTCCTTCAAAGATTAGAATGTATCGTTCTAGTCTCTCCTCGCCTATAAGGTTTCTGTTGAGAAATCTGCTGAAAGCCTGGTAGGGATTCCTTTGTAAGTTATTTTTTTCTGCCTTGCTGCCCTTAGTATTTTTTCCTTGTCATTGACTTTTCCAGTTTCACTACTATCTGCCTTGCAGTAGGTCTTTTTACATTGACATATTTAGGAGATCTGGTAGCCTCTTTCACTTGGATTTCCATCTCTTTCCCCAGGTTTGGGAAGTTCTCCACTATTATTTCTTTGAACAAGCTTTCTGCTCCATTCTCCTCTTCTCCCTGTGGAATACCTGTAATTCTTCTGTTGCATTTCCTAATTGAGTTGGATATTTCTTGGAGACTTTCTTCATTTCTTTTCAGTCTTAGTTCTCTCTCCTCTATCTGGAGCATCAACATGTCTATCCTCAATTGTGCTGATTGGCTCCTTGATGATGTCAGCTCTAGCGTTCAGGGAATCCGTATTTTGTTTTATCTCATCCATCGTGTCTTTCATCTCCGATATTTCTGATTGATTGATTCTTTATAACTTCAATCTCTTTTGTGAAGTAGCTCCTGAACTCATTAAGTTGTTTCTCTGCATTCTCTTTTAACTCACTGAGTTTTTTGATGATAGATATTTTGAACTTTCTGTCATTTAGATTATATATTTCTCTGTCTTCAGGATTGATTTCTGGGTACTTGTCATTTTCCTTCTGGTCTGGTGATTTAATAGAATTTTTGATACTACTAGAGGATGTGGCTCTGTTCTTCAGCACTGTGGTATTGTTTGGTTGCTGTATTCAACTGTAACCACTGAGTGGGAGTCAAGAACTGCCTATCCTGAGCCCTCTGTGTTCTGCTGGGATCTCAGGTGCTGGAACCAGGTGGTGGGTGGTTGAGGGGAGGGGCGCTTTCTTCTCTGTGCTCTTGGAGGCTTCTCACTCTCCCGTCACACTCTGCTTTCCTGGGGTGTTGGCTTGATGAAGACACCCCCATGATAGCTAGTCACTTCAGTAGGGGGCTTCCCCCAGGCTGCAAGGGACCATGGGGATCTATGATGTTCTCACAAAGGGGCGCCCCCTCCCCCTTTCCTTCCCTCTTGGAGGCCATGCACAAGCCCAGAATTGCGGTCTTTTGGGGAGGGAGCGAAGCTTCCTCTTACTCCATTCCACCTCCTCCGCCGGGGCTCCAGCACCTCTGCTTCCTGACATATGGCTGCGTGGGTCTCTCAGACATCTTTTTTGTGTTGTGGATGTCCTCTCTTGGAATATGAATGTCCTTTTAGTTGTGTCTTGGAGGTGAGAGTTCACTGGGAGAGCTCACTCTACCATGATGCTGACGTCACCCAGTTTTAAGATTTTTTTAAGACCAGAGCTCAATATTTGGTTTTATTTTTGTAGGTGCTGAGTCCCCGGACTGACATTGGTATATATGGGAGTGGTAAAAACAGAAGGAAAAAAGTAAAAGAGCTAATAGAAAAAGAAAAAGAAAAGGATCTGGACCTTGATCCTCTGAGTGATCTGGAGGAAGGATTGGAGGAAACCAGAGATACAGCCATGGTGGTAAGGCATTATGTAAAGTATCTTGAGTTTGCTTGGTGAATACAAAATTCTGTGAAGATATTAGCAGATTCACTCTTTATATATTCTTAACTATTATTTCTGTGTAGTTTTTTGTCTGGCTTTATGGTGATGCATATTTCACATAGTTTTAAATATTTCTAATCAAAGTATATAAAAAGTTTACTATTCTTCTCTCTCCCTAAAATTGGCTTTTTCATATTGCTCTTTGTTTTTTTAATAGTTGTCTAATATTCCTTCAAATTATCCATAATTTGCTGAGTACTTTTCTGATAATGAACATTTTGGCAGTTACTAAGTGTTGGCTCTTATGGATAGTAATAAAGTGAACCTCCTTTATAGGCTTTTCCTTTTCTCGAATTATTTTCCTACACTTGACTCTTACAATCAGATTAAATGATTGGCATTTAATAGCATGTTTGATGCTTAATACAATTGTGCTTTTGAAAGGAATTCTGTCAGCTTACTGATACCAGCTGCTATTTAAAATATGTTCCTTATCGGGGCCAGCCCGGTGGAGCAGTGGTTAAGTTCTCACCTTCTGCTTCTCGGCAGCCCGGGGTTCACTGATTTGGATCCCGGGTGTGGACATGGCACCACTTGGCAAAAGCCACGTTGTGGTAGGCATCCCACGTATAAAGTGAAAGAAGATGGGCATGGATGTTAGCTCAGGGCCAGTCTTCCTCAGCAAAAAGAGGAGGATTGGCAGTAGTTAGCTCAGGGCTAATCTTCCTCAAAAAACAAAAAGCAAAAATAGATTAAAATATTTTCCTTCTCTTAGTAACATTCAGCAGTATAGTGAGGGCTGGATAAAATATTTATAGCTAATTAGAATTATGGGATATTTTTTGGAGAGTAGGAAGAATGTGTTAAAATTATAAGGATCCTGAGGAAGTAGAGAGAAAATAAAAATGAGTTTGGGCAATACGCAATACTAGGGAATTGCATACATTAAGTAACTTAATACGGCTGTTTCTGCCTACAAATGATCCTGTTTTGAGGCCAGTGGATATGATTTCTCATTAGAGAGCCTGCCTAACAAGTCAGTCTCGCCAGACAAGTAGGACTGGAAATTATTTCAAAATCGTTTCAAAGCTACCAGAGTTTAGAAAGAAAATACACTGGCAGTGCTCATGATAATTAAATTTTGTTTACTTTTATATAGTTTTCTGAAATGAGTTACATAAAACCTTGTTATACTTAGTCATCAGGCTTTGTTATTCTACTTCTGCACAAGTGGAGGCCTTCTAGAAAGAGATAGAAATGGACCTGTATATAACTTGCCCCCAGAGAATGAATTACAAGGGGATGGGGAACTAATATTTGTTGAGTGTTAACCTTGTCCCAGGTACCAAGTTAAGCACTTTCAGGTGTGTTATTTTCTTTAATCCTTAAAAAATAAATGAGGTTAGTGATATCCTCAGTTTTCAGAAAACTAAGATTCAGAAAACTTGTGCCCCAGATCAACAGCCTGTACAACATTAAGTACAAGAGCCAGGCTTCATACCCAGGTTGCTTGACTTCAGGGCATACTATCTTTCTGCTGCCCCCTACATAAAAATTCAGAGTACTCTGCTCATATGAATGGTCAAATATAAATTTTCCCATTTCACAGATAAGGAATGTTTGCATGGAAACTGTCAGGCTGCCCCTAATTTTAGGAAATGACTGACAACTGATTTGTTTTTAAAGGACAGTGCTTTGTCACCGTGAGGCCACAACTTGGAGACAATCCCTCAACCTTGAGGGTCTGGTATTTTTGGAGTGTTTTATAGTGATTCCTTTTAATTAAATGTTTGTTGTATACAGGTGGCCGTTTTCAAAGAACGGGAGCAAAAAGAGATTGAAGCCATGCACACCCTCCGAGCAGCCAACCTAGCCAAGATGACAATGGTGGACCGCATAGAAGAAGTAAAATTTTGCATTTGCCGCAAGACAGCCAGTGGGTTTATGCTACAGTGTGAGCTCTGCAAAGACTGGTTCCATAACAGCTGTGTTCCACTTCCTAAGTCAAGTTCCCAGAAAAAAGGGTCTAGCTGGCAGGCTAAAGAAGTAAAATTCCTTTGCCCTCTTTGTATGCGGTCTCGAAGGCCAAGGCTAGAAACTATTCTCTCACTCCTGGTATCACTTCAGAAGTTGCCTGTACGGTTGCCTGAAGGAGAGGCCCTACAGTGTTTGACAGAACGTGCTATGTGTTGGCAAGATAGAGCACGGCAGGCCCTAGCAACAGATGAACTATCCTCTGCTCTGGCCAAACTGTCTGTGTTGAGCCAGCGTATGGTGGAGCAGGCAGCTCGAGAAAAAACTGAGAAGATTATCAGTGCAGAACTCCAGAAAGCAGCTGCCAATCCAGACTTACAGGCAAGTTTAGGATTTTCTTTCTTTTTCTATTTCTTAGGATAGTGTTTGTCAGTGTGTAAATAGTAAATCAAATCTATCTTACCAGTTGGTTAGGAAAAGAACACTAAGTTACCAGCAGCTATATTTTCATAATGTCTTCTTTCATACACCAATAGGATTTTTCTTTGGTTGTATACGTAGGTTATTTTAGTGAAATATTACCTGGAAATATCATTCAGGTGAACCTTGGCATTGTAGTAAAATAATGTGATCTTTAGTAACTGTTGAAGTCAGTTAGCGATTTTGCAAGTTCCTTACATTTTGGTAGTCTTAAGCACATATGAATTACCTATGTTTGTTTAGTATGTCTCTCTGTTCATCTTGGGATTGTTTGTTGTTTAGGGACACTTACCTAGTTTCCAGCAGTCTGCTTTTAACCGGGTGGCGAGCAGTGTGTCTTCTTCCCCTCGACAAACGATGGACTACGATGATGAAGAAACAGATTCTGATGAAGACATTCGAGAGGCGTATGGCTATGATGTCAAGGTAGTTCTGACAGACTGTGGCTACATACCTCATCACTGGGTTTGCTAAAAAGCTGTTGAGCACCAACATCTGAGGCCTGAAAGTGGGAGAGAAAGCTGGTTATCTATCTGTCCTGAGTTTATGGTGGTAGGATTTTTTTCAGAGCTCCAAAAATTGAAACAATTTTTTTAAAGGATGGAATTTTTTAAAAATCTGTATTTTTCTTACCTTGTAACTCCTTAGGGCTTAGAGGGACTAGAAAAATTATGCATTTAAGTTACCGAAAGCTTTCATGGCTGATTTCAATATTTTTTTCTTTGGGTTGTTAAAAAAGTCTGTGTAGTTACGTTTTAAGCATCTCACTCCAGCTGTGCTTTGATTCTTTTCCTCTGATCTCTCATCTGGATGGTGCTAAGTAGAATATCATATTCAGAGATGGGTTATACTTGGGCCCACGGTTCAAATTTGCAGAATTATAGTTACAGTTAGAACAAATGATTTGTTCTCAGTATGATTATTTTGATAATGACACCACACTGGTGATGAAGAGAAGGTTTTGGCAAGTTTGTTTTCTGTTGGGTCCTTTTGGTCTTTTGTTGTCATTTCATGTCAGGCCCAAGTCCTTTGTCTTTTACCTAGTAATAACATTATAATCTAGGCAGAGACCCTGCCAAGTTACAGTTAATCCATTGATCTGTTTTATATTATTCTTTGTTGATCTGTTTAGAATCTATACCTGTAACCAGGGAGTTTGTACTCTGTCTTTTCAGCATTAGAGCATGAATACCACTAGCATTAAAACTCCCAGGATGTAAAATTAAAGCCATCCCTCGTAGATGCTTGTAAATTACCTGCTGGAAAATACTTTTCTCAAGATAAAAATGGATCTAGGCGATCTTTTAATGAGGGAATTTTTTTTTTTTTAAGATTTTATTTTTCCTTCTTCTCCCCAAAGCCCCCTGGTGCATAGTTGTATATATTTTTATATACAACTTCTAGGAGGACACAACTGGGTCCTTCTAGTTGTGGCCTGTGGGACGCCGCCTCAGCATGGCTTGATGAGCAGTTCTAGGTCCGCACCCAAGATCCGAACCTGTGAAATCCTGGCCTGCTGAAGCAGAGCACACGAACTTAACCACTTGGCCATAGGGCCAGCCCCCCTCCCCCTTTTTTTTTTTAAAGGTTAGAGAATTTTTAGTTATATGAATTAAAGACTTGAGAAAAGTTTAAACTTGATTTAGCCTGTTAAAATAAGGTTCTGAGCACCTTGCTACCCTGAAGTTCATGACCTTTTTTGTTTATAAAGTTGTATAGGATGACCAGGGGCAGCTGAAAGGGAATGCAGCCCATTCTATGTATAAGTTAGTTAGCTAATACTAGAATTGCCTTTTGCCATAGCAGACCCAGCCCAATACTTGGGTTATTATCTTCCTAGCACATTAAGGATCAAGCGGTTCCCTGGAACTACTAGACAGCCTGGACTTCACTTGGAAGCAGATCGGTAACCTATAAAAACAAAGCATCACAAGTATTATATGATTTCAGGGCTGGAGATTGATATGGCTGTATGCAATAGTCCTTTTCTGCAATATTTACACAGGGGACTTAGCTTACAGTCTCTTCTTTGGTAGAGCGTATTGGCAGGATAGAAAAGAAATGATGGATTTTAGAGTGTTAATATATTTGATATCTTAGAAGAGAAGAACATTGGCAAGACTTAGGGTAATTCAAGGTTAAATTTACCTTGATGTTGGTATCTTTGCGTTAAAAAAAATTATACTTGCATATTTTCCCATAGAGCAAGCACTTACTGTATAATGAAAATTTTATTTGCCAATTTATGTGCAATTGGCTTGGTGATTTTTCTCTTTGTTTGGTGTCCCCTGATTGTGACCACGAATTAGTCCTTAAAATAGTTTGAATTTAACATCTTTGCTTGAGGAAGAGGTCCCTACTGGTTTAGGAAGAATGGGTAATTATATAGAAAAATAAAATCAGTCATTTGATCTTAGTATTTATTAGTATAGCATTTAAATGTTTAAAACAGATGGTTTGTGCTTTGCACTGTTTGATTATTTTGCATCTAATATCCTATGATCACCACTAAAATACTCAGAGCAGCAATTCAAGAAAATCATTACTTAGGAAAATACATTTTTTTTTTTTTTTTAAAGATTTTTTTTTTTTTTTTTCCTTTTTCTCCCCAAAGCCCCCCAGTACATAGTTGTGTATTCTTCGTTGTGGGTTCTTCTAGTTGTGGCATGTGGGATGCTGCCTCAGCGTGGTCTGATGAGCAGGGCCATGTCCGCGCCCAGGATTCGAACTAACGAAACACTGGGCCGCCTGCAGCGGAGCACGCGAACGTAACCACTCGGCCACGGGGCCAGCCCCAGGAAAATACATATTTAATGAAGAAAAGTCTGTCATGAATCTTTTGTGATTGTGTCTGGGATAAGCTTCTTTCAAATATTCATATGGTTATTTGCTTTTAAAGCATATTGTTTGCTTTTACTGAAACTCTCCATCCATATTACAGTTTATATTTTGCAAATGCATATATGTGTAGAATTACCTCAGAAAGGAGAGTATAAAATAGTAGTAACTGTTATCTCCCAGGAAAGTCTTATATATATTCCAATAATTGCTTATTTTAGAGAAAGGCAAGTTAGATTCTTTCATTTTTTTCTTCTGCACCCTCGTTAATGCTTGAGTGGCTTGAGCTTTTTTGGAAATAGAGTAGATTTGTCTGAGATTTTAGTCTCACCTAACACCAGATAAGGTGGAGTGACAGATCTGTATATAAAACACATTTCGCACTGTGAGGCCATTCCGCTTTTCCTGCTGTTTGCCATTAGTGGGACTGAAATGTAATTCTCCTCCTTAGGGAGAGAATTTGTTTAAGCTTGCTGTCTATCAATCCTTTTACTTTCATCATATCTGTGTTTTATATTTAAAATGTATCTCTTGTAGACAGCATATATAGTAGGGTCCTTTCTGGTCTGTAATTCTGCCTATATGTTTTGTAAAATGTATGGTTAAGTCTTGTTTTTGTTGGTTTTTTTTTTTTTGAGGAAGATCAGCCCTGAGCTAATATCCATGCCCATCTTCCTCTACTTTTTATGTGGGACGCCTGCCACAGCTCGCCTTGATGAGTGGTGCCATGGTCTGCACCTGGGATCCGAACTGGAGGACCCCAGGCCGCCAAAGCAGAACATGCTTTTACTTAACTCCTGCTCCACTGGGCTGGCCTCTGTTTTATTTTTTAAGTAATACATTCATGTGCCACGTAATGATGTTTAAATCAACAATGGACTGCATATACAATGGTGGTCCCGTAAGATGTGTGGTAGGCTATACCATCTAGGTTTGTGTAAGTACTGTAGGGGAGGAAGAAATTTTCCTGTACTCTTCTGTATTCTTCTGGCTGGTCAAGGATTAAATTGACGTGAGACAGATTAACAGGAGAAATACAAAAGTTTAATAACATGTATACGTGGGAGAAATCCAGGAAAACCGAGTAACTTACAAAAATGCCCAAAGTCCTCACCTTAAATACTATTCTCAGCTAAAAGACAAAGATGGTGGGAGTAGGGAGAGTCAGTGACTTCAGAGGAAAGGAAGGCAATTCACAGGTAGCTGAAAAGGAGCAACCATTTGGAAAACAATTGTTTGGCCACGCAGAAACAGAAGAACACAGAGGGAGCCCATCAAACAGGCTTTTCTTGGTTCCCCTCTGTCTGCCGCCTGGTTCATGTTACACTGAGGTGATAGCTCTCTTCCTGAAACAGGTTTTTTAATCTCAGTTCTTTTAGGCGGTCAAGGGGGAGGTAATAAGAAAACTTTCAGTCTTTTCTTTCTTAACAATAATCAGCCTAAAATAATCCTTATTTAGAGAGATACATTTTGGGGTGGCACATTTTGTTCCCCTTCAGTTTACTCTGTTGCACAATGAAATTGCCTAATGATGCATTTCCCAGAATGTATCCCTGTCATTACGTGATACATGACTGTGTAGCAATCTCTGTCTTTTGATTGGGGGTGTTTAGTCCATTTACATTTGATGTAATTGTTGACATGGTTGGATTTAAATTGACTATCTTGCTATTTATTTTTTATTAATCTCTCTCTCTTTTTTTTTTTTAAAGATTGGCACCTGAGCTGACATCTGTTGCCAATCTTTTTTTCTTTTTCTTCTTCTTCTCCCCAAAGCCCCCCAGTACACAGTTGTATATTCTAGTTGCAGGTCCTGCTAGTTGTGCTGTGTGGGATGCTGCCTCAGCATGGCTTGATGAGCGGTACCATGTCCACACTCAGGATCCGAACTGGTGAAACCCCTGGCTACCAAAGTGGAAGACACGAACTTAACCACTCAGCCACCAGGCTGGCCCCAACATCTTTTGTTTTTTGTTTCTTGTTCCTCAGTTGCTCTTTTCCTGCCTTCTTTTGGGTTAATGGCAATTTTTTTTTAATGCTTCATTTTATTTCCTTTATTGGCTTCTTACCTGTGCCTCTTTTTATTTTGTATTTTTCGGTGATTGCTCTGGGACTGAAAATGCATCTTTAACTTAAGACAGTCAATATTGTATCTCTTCACGTTTAGGGAAGTAGTTTTTTTAAAAATGTGTTTTTAGGGGCTGGCCCAGTGGTGCAGCTGTTGGGTGCGCACATTCCGCTTTGGGGGCCTGGGGTTCACTGGTTCGGATCCCAGGTGGGGACATGGCACCACATGGCATGCCATGCTGTGGTAGGCATCCCATACATAAAAAGTGGAGGAGGATGGGCATGGATGTTAGCTCAGGGCCACTCTTCCTCAGCAAAAGGAGGAGGATTGACAGCAGTTAGCTCAGGGCTAATCTTCCTCAAAAAAATAAAGAAAAGTGTTTTTACCTATTATTACTTTCCATCATTATTTTCTAATCGCTGACCTTTCCATTCCGAAAGCCTAATAGAAGGTTCCCTATGTAAGTTACAATGAAATGAGTAGAGTCAAGGTCAGAAAAGACAATTCCAGTAAGTGATAAGAAGTATCTGGGAATTAAAGTAGGAGAGTACTAAAGTACTCCCCGATCTGTTGCTTCTTAGGACTTAAAAATTCTTCAATAGGGAAGACGACTATGAACTGCGATTCCTAAATTCTCAGTGAGTGGCATTGTCTTCAGATCCTCTTATAAAACCTTTTAAGTATCTTGTTTAATTAAGGGTAGTCTCACGATAACAGTAGATCTTCCTCTCATGCGCCCTACAAAGAGAATCAGGTGTTGCATTAGTCGTTAAGCTATTCTCTCATTTCCTAACCACTCTTTTATACTGTGCTTTGTGATGCTGGGGCTGGGACTCTACTCCAGCGGTTTGTATACGTTTTCTGTAAAGTAATATATATATATAAATAAACACTAATGTATATTAATACTATATAATATTATATATAATGATGCATAGTAAATATTTTAGGCTCTGCAAGCCACATATGGTCTCTATTGCATATATATATGTATATGTATATTTTTTCACAACTCTGAAAATGTGAAAACTATTCTTAGCTCACACGCCATACAAAAAACAGGCTGCCTACTGGGTTTGGCCCACAGCCTATAGTTTGCCAACCACTGCTCTACACATTTGTCCTTTGCCTGCTGCCTCCTTTTTGCCAATAGAGGGCATTAGAGAAAATTTAAAGGCTTGAATAGTGAGAAGGGGCTTGATCTTTTCCAGTTTATTCTCCCTGCCTGTCATTATCTGAACTGCATGCTGTTTTGTCTTTTTCTTAACCCTCACAGTCGCAGCTGGTTCCAATTTCTAGTTGTTTTTTTCACACCCCTGACACCAGCTCCTTCGTGTTCTTTTAGAGATAGCCGAACTAACTGGCCAGTGCTTCTTCCACAGAGGTCACAGTCCCCCCCCAACAAGGCCCCTTCTCTGAGCTTTTAGGTTCTGGTAACTCCCCTTCTTTTCTCTGTTATCTCAAGCTCTAGGAGTAGCAACTCTTTCTTGCAGTTATCTTGGTATGACTTCGATGTTTTCATTTTGCCTTTTCAAGCCTTTAATTTACATTTGACCAGTTCACTTTGTTAAATCGTTTGTTGAAATACCTATGATTTCTGTCTTCCTGATGCACTCTGACCATTAAAGCCATACATGTGAGCTTATGGAAACTAACTGCAGGGGAGAATTATCTAAGACCTAATCAGAGCTGTCATAATTGTATAATTTGAATTATATCCATCAGACTCTTCATTGTATTCATAGCAGTTGGTAAGCTTCTAGGTTTGAAAACCTTCAGAGAGGATTAAATGATTTGTGTCCTTCAGGTGCTACATCTAAACCTTTCTTCTCCTCCTAAGTCCATTTGATGTTTTTTTTAAAGTGTTAAAGTTCCTTAACTTGTGGGTATAGGAGTTTTTATGAATTGTAGACTGTAGAAGGTAGATTTTGTTGTTAGTGCCATGGAGTCAGTTCTGACTCCTAGCAACCCTGTGTCCAGCAGAGCGGAACCTGCCGGTCTTCTTGTACCATCCTCTCATCTTCTGGCGCTCTGTCAGACAATGCTCTGCTGCTGTTCACAGGGTTTCCATGGCCAGTTTTTCAGAAGTGGGTGGCCAGGTCCTTCTCCCTAGTCTGTGTAGTCTGGAAGCTCCGCTGAAACCTGTCCACCGTGGGTGACCCTGCTGGTATTTGAAATACCAGTGGCAGAGATTTCATCATCGCAGCAACATGCAGCCACCACAGTATGACAACCAACAGGTGTGTGGTGTGGTTCCCTGACTGAGAAATGAACCTGGGCCTTGGCAGTGAGAGTGCCAAACCTACCACTAGATCACAGAGATTAGATTACTTAATGGTAATTTTCTTGTAGGTTCATTGTCTCTCTGGATTATTTTTGAGCTTCACTCTTTCTCTTTTGGCTTGAAACTGTGGTGATTACTGTTTTCCCCCCAGTGGACATTTTTACTTATTTAATACCATGTATTTAATTTTAAGGTCATGGTTTTAGTATGTTGTATTAGAAGCTTTAACCTGAAAGCCTGCATTTAGATCTCGTCAGAGAATGAGTTAAGTGGTTCTAATTCTGAATACGGCTCTTTGTTTCTTCTTTAGGACACAGCCAGCGTGAAGTCCTCTAGTAGTCTGGAACCCAATCTTTTTTGTGATGAAGAGATTCCCATCAAGTCTGAGGAGGTGGTCACTCACATGTGGACGGCACCTTCATTCTGTGCAGAACATGCTTATTCTTCTGCTTCTAAGAGTTGTTCTCAAGGTATTAACCTTTAAAACAATGTGGTGAAGATAAGCCTCAAACCAGTGAGAAAAAACATTGTAATTAATTAGACTGAATTCCTCTTAAATACAAATCCTGGCCATGAAATGCTAATAGAACCTGAAAATGCAATTTTGATCAGGAAAAGCCACTCCCTCTGTGTGTTTTCTGTCATTAGGTGATAACCTGAAAACTTAAACAGAATTATTGATTCCTAATCAGAAGAACTTTAGAGGCCATCTAGTCTCATCTCTTATTTATAGAAAATCCCTGATAGGTAGTCATTTAGCCTCTGTTTGTTCATTACCAGTTGTTGAGGAACATGCTGCTTTTTAAGAGTATTCATTCTAGTTTTGGAAAGCTTTAATTGTCAGCAAGTTCTTCCTTTCCTTGGTAGATAATTTCTCTATTATGGTCACTTTTCCTTTTTCCCCATGAAAATAAGTCACACTGCTTTAAGTCATATCTCTGGAAAATGGAGGATGTTTTTCTCTTCAGAGTAAAATTCAAGATTTTATGGAGTAGTATGTTATTGTCTGTTCGTTAGGAAGATAGCTGCTTATTTATATAAGGCAACTGTGTGCTTAATCTTTTGGTATTCTCTAAAATGGAGAGAACATGAGTTAAGAGATTCTTTCCATTCCCCTTCCCTTCCAGTCACAGGATAAAGAATCAGTAAGGAGGGCCAGCCCGGTAGCACAGTGGTTAAGTGCACATGTTCCGCTTTGGCAGCCTGGGGTTCACCAGTTCAGATCCCAGGTGCGGACATGGCACCGCTTGACAAGCCGTGCTGTGGCAGGCGTCCCACATAAAATAGAGGAAGATGGGCACGGATGTTAGCTCAGGGCCAGTCTTCCTCAGCAAAAAAGAGGAGGGTTGGCGGCAGATGTTAGCTCAGGGCTAATCTTCCTCAAAAACAACAACAAAAAACAACAAACAAAAAAATGACTACCTAAAAGCTTGGTTAAAATTGAAAAAAAAAAAAAAGGAATCAAGGAACCAGTTTTTTTACTTTAAATCGGTTTTTTACAGTATACATTAGAATTCTAGATCTTTTTGTTCTACATTTGTTTTTAGTTTCATTTTCACTTTCGTACTGATGCAGTGAATCCACATATCTAACGTAAATATTGGGGGAGGAGGGACCATTCCTCCCCCAACATTATGGTTTTTTTCTGTAGTTTGCATTTTTTTGTTTTGTCTTACATTTCCTTGGAAAGGTTCTAGCACCCCAAGGAAACAACCTCGGAAGAGCCCTTTGGTGCCCCGAAGTTTAGAACCTCCAGTGTTGGAGTTGTCACCTGGAGCCAAAGCCCAGCTAGAAGAACTTATGATGGTTGGAGATCTCCTAGAAGTGTCTCTGGACGAGACTCAACACATATGGCGAATTTTGCAGGCCACACACCCACCCTCTGAAGACAGATTCTTGCATATCATGGAGGTATGGATTTAAAGCTTACTTACACAGTGGTTTTAAAACTATTTAGAATGCCCAAGTTCCTTGGAGGTACCACAAATACCGGCAAGGGGATGGCCGAGTGGGTAACACTCTGGCTGTCCTACATTCCCATTAAGCCAAAGTTTTCTTTATTGAGATTTTATGTAATATTTAATTTGGAAAAAAAAGACCATTTCAGCTAAAAAAGAAAAGGGGGGTACTGGAAACCAGAAGTTTAGAACAACTTCCTTAGCCTGGTCTCCCACTGTTGGAAGGCCCAAAAGTTAGGCAGGAGAATATATAGTGGTTAAAAAGAAGCAGCAAGGGAATGGTTAAATAGAAGTGGTTAAAATAGATTGGAGTGGGAGGGAGAGTCTACATTCGTATATTACACTTGTGTAGCATTTGTAATTTATACAACTTTTTTATATCCATGATCTCACTTGATCTTTACCATAATCCTGAAAGGGAGAGGGGAAAGAATAGACAGGGCAAGTATTTAGCCCATTCTGCATATGAAGAAATTAAAAATCAGAGATGTGGAAACTTGTCTGAGGTCCACATCTAGTAAAAACAAGGAGAGCTGGATTCCTACTCTGACATTTGACTCCTAGTATTCTTTTCATTATTCTTTTCCATTACTTGTTTCCGTGTAATGGAATGGTGCAATGTCACCAACAGTTGATACAGATATGCTTAGCATACTGCAGTTTGTTTTTGGTTTGGAAGTCGGATTGAAGGTAGCCTAATTTAGATAGTATTTTCCAGTTTACAAAGCATTTTCTTCACATCCATTGTCTCATGATCCTCTTTATTTTATATATAAGGAGAAACACAAAGTATTGAGAGGTTAAATATCTTGTTCAAGATGTGATAGACTTAAGGCACTTATAATGCATTGTTCTTTTGGATTCTGCAGATTTTTAGGTTCCTGTCAAAGATTTCCAGTCTCAAATCTGTGGAAAAATGAATTCTCAAATGTTGGTTCTTAAGTAATTATCAAGCTTATGTTTTTCAGTGTTTGTTTCTGTTAGTAGACATACTTTTACTGTTAAAATTTTTAATGCTTATTACATTCACACATAATAGGAACAATATTAGCAAGTTGGAAAGAAAAATGACAAATTTTTTTGCTTTGTCACATCAGTTATTTTCTGGCCCTTGCCAAAGTCACTGCATACACTTTGTAATGAGATCATGCATACGATTTTATATGTTTTGCCGACATTTTTGATACCTTCTTAACCACCAGGAATTTATTAGTTGAGGTAATAATAAACTTTAATAGTGGTAAATGAAGTCCAAAAAAGTTAGGACGTAATTTAGTGTACATTTTAGTACATTTCATTTTCTGTGTACGTTTTCACCTCAAACAGAGATGCTACAGATTATATTAATATATGCTAACAATTAACTTTTTTGCCCTCTTTCCCTCTGGTAAGCTATAAGTCAGATTTTTTATTTAGAGCTTGCCATTTTTTTCTACTGTTATCTTCATTGACTATTATATTTGCCTTCTTAAAATGTCTTTTGAATATCTTTAGAATATTTATTGTATAATGTACACAACATAAAATTTACAATCTTAATCTTTTTTAAGCATACAATTAGTTATATTAATTACATTTACAGTGTTATGCAGCTGTGATTACTATCCATTTTCAGAATTTTGTAATCCTCCCAAACAGAAACTCTGTACCCATTTAAACAATAAATCCCATTTTCTCCTCCCTGCAGCCCTTGGTAACCTCTCTTCTACTTTCTATCTCTATGAATTTGCCTATTCTCAGTACTTCATAGAAGAGAATAAAACTTTCTAAATATCTGGTTTTATAATTGTTTCTAATTTTATATTTTTGAAGGATGACAGCATGGAAGAGAAACCATTAAAAATAAAAGGAAAGGACTCTTCAGAGAAGAAACGGAAACGGAAGCTAGAAAAAGTAGAGCAGCTTTTTGGAGAAGGAAAACAGAAGTCCAAGGAGTTAAAGAAAATGGATAAACCTAAAAAGAAGAAGTTAAAATTAAGTGCAGAAAAATCAAAAGAGCTGAACAAACTGGCCAAGAAACTCGCAAAAGAAGAAGAGAGAAAGAAAAAGAAGGAGAAGGCTGCTGCAGCCAAAGTTGAACTTGTGAAAGAGAATACTGAGAAGAAGAGAGAGAAAAAAGTGCTGGACATCCCCTCCAAGTATGACTGGTCAGGAGCAGAGGAATCTGACGATGAGAACGCTGTGTGTGCAGCACAGAACTGCCAAAGGCCCTGCAAGGACAAGGTGAGTTCCACTCTGTAGTCAGGTGTGAGAGGACGAAGAACAACGGTTGTGGAGAAATGTGTTTGATATCTTAATAGTCTGATTTTGATGCCAGGATTTAGGCTTCCAACATAGTATGTTTTCTATAGTTTTTATAGACTTTTTTGAATTATGAGGCTCTTAAGTCAGTGTGCTTAATAGAAGAAGTATTGTGTTTTAAAAATCATATACTTAGTGAACATGATGAGGCAAGAGCAGGGGGAGCTATGTGATAACCCGGGGCTGCAGTGTATTTCATATGCGTTGGCATAACAAGTTTCAAAATAGTCTTGTGCCTTTCATATAGGATGACTTGGAGAACTAATACCTTGTCAGGTACCCACAATGGCCTGAAAAAAATCCTGGGCCACTAGTCTAAGAGTTTTGGCAAATTGAGTTAAAATTTGTTCTAAAGACCTGAAACTAAGGGATTAATCTTCCCTTTTGGTCTGTGTCTTATCCACACTTGGGCCTTGGTGCACTCTCCTAAAGGAACTGTAATTTTTTTCAAATCCTTTGCAAAAAATAATTGAGACTTTTAAAGGTATTATTTTAAAATTTTAAGCCCTAAATTTTAAGTATAGTAAGTATATGATGGCCATTCTTTAGGTAATATTAACATTGTGAACTTCTGAGAAAGACTGATGGAGTTTATGAAAAATCTCAGTTCATTAAAATGACTGGAGGCACATACTATGGTTCCCACCAAGATTATTAGTAATTTCATAGTTTTAATTTTATTTTGCTCATTATACCACTTGATATTCAGAATTTTAATAGCTCCTTAGTTTGAATATATGAACAGAATAAATACAACTGTGTCGTTATTCCCTTACTTCCCTCCTCAGTCAAATACTTGGTAGAGCTTGAAGAGGTCACCTTGTCCAGGCTCTTAATTTTACAAATGATGAAACCAGGACTCAGTGAAGATAAATGGTTGTAACCAAAGTCACGGAGCTAATTAGTGGCAAAACCAAAAGTAGAACCCTGGTTCCCTGGCTTCCAGACCAGATTCTGTCACTAATATCCCCACCCCACCAATAATTGAGATGTAAGTACAAAACATAGTTGAAAACTAGATGGTGCTTACATTTAAATTATACTTAATAAAAACTTTCCACTCATTTTTAAAAGATGAATATATAGTTAAATGTATATCCCATAGTGTAACCTACCAAGGACAGCAGCTGTAAATATTGTAATGCATTTCCTTCCAATCCTTTTTCTATATAGATTGTTTTATATCTTGTCATACTGTCTATTCATTTTGTATCTTGCTTTGCTAATATCATAGGCATTTTTCTATATTATAAACATTTTAAAGCAGTTTAATAGATACGTTAGCTATGTGTATATATTATTTTTATCTTTCATTTGAATTTATTCTCGTCTGAACTTGTTTATTAAAGAGGCTGATGAAAGGTTAACTGTTTCTCTTTGGATACTGAAATAGTGGCACTTCAGTGTTTGGCAGAATCATCTCCCTTTTCTTTCTTTAATTGTATGGCAGTTTCAGGACTGGCAGTAAGACATGGTGTTTCTTTCTCAGGCTTTCCTGTTGTCCTTCCTACAAGGTTTATAACCATCATGAACCTTTTACGTTCTCTTTTTTTCTCCTTTTCACTTAACAATTTCTCCCCTCTCCTCTGCTCAGCATTTTAAATATGGTTTGGTTCATCTGTTATTCCTGTTATCTTCCTGTAGCATGTAAACACTACAGGCAGTTTTTTCTTCATCTGCTATGAAATTAAGTTAACACATGCCCTGCTTACTCTCAGGGTTATGAGGCTAGGGAGAGAGACTCTATATGAAAGCACTTGTTAACCAAAGATGCAATGTAAGTGTTAATATGTGATCATTATTTTTAAATGAGCCCTGAGATTTGCTCCTAACGTTATAGGTATTTTAAAAAAATTTAGAAGGTTGTCATCTATGTTTTGATGGAGCAAAAGGACTAACTGACTATTCAGAGAAAATGTCTATTTTAAACTGTTAAAACACGTACAAAGGTAAGCAATGTGTGCCTTAACCTGTCATTAGCTTACGTAAAAGAAACTTAGTAAATGCTGTATTTCTATAAAATGTTTAATTTTAAACAGAAATTACTTTAGATTGTAAACATTTTTCCTGTTTTGCAGTTTTTACGGTTCTCCAAGTTTGTTCCTGACACTAGTTTTACTAAATAAAAAGTGTGTTTCTTTCAAAGCTTTGTAAAGAATTTTATAACTTTCTCAATTTGAAGTATGGTGTTGTGTTCTCTAGGAAAACCAAATTAATGCATCGCACATATCTTCAAAACAAAATGATGACAGGAAAAGATTGATTTTTAGGGAAGTCTGTGTTCTTTAAAATATCATGCAGCAAAAAATAACTTGTAGGGTTCATTCATATTTAGGTAAATGTACATTTACCATTTTTCTAACTAGTAATTACCTTTCCCCAAAAATGTGCAGATTGAGAAAACTTTAAAGGATTACTTAAATGCGCCTCGCCTCAATTTCAAGATGTTTTAGAAAAAGAAAAATGCTATCAGAATAATGTAGAAAAAAGGTTTTTTAAAAAACTCTTGGGGCCGGCCTGGTGGCTCAGTGGTTAAGTGCGCACATTCCACTTCGGCGGCCCGGGGTTCACCGGTTTGGATCCTGGGTGCAGACATGGCACCATTTGACAGGCCATGCTGTGGTAGGCGTCCCAAATATAAAGTAGAGGAAGATGGGCACAGATGTTAGCTCAGGGCCAGTCTTCCTCAGCAAAAAGAGGAGGATTGGCAGCAGTTAGCTCAGGGCTAATCTTCCTCAAAAAAAAAAAAAAAAAAACCCTCTCTCTTCCATCATTATCAAATTAACTTCAAACTGAAATTTATTTTGAAAATAATGAACTATTTTCAAAAAATTAATTTTAAGGTTCAGAATCTTTTTCTCCCTGAACTCTGTCCCTTTCAATCTAATTGGTACCAAGAGTAAAACAAGTTAACCTGAAGGAGCAAATTCTTTCAAGCTAATATTTAAGTAACATCTTTTTCTGTATTAGAATAAATATTTAATCATCTTACTTGTAAAAAAAAATAGACTTTTTTCCCTTTACCTTTTTTACCCTCTTACTGTGGGCCTTTTCCTTACCTGTTACTACTTCCATAAGAAGTTTGGCTTGGTAAATAAAGAGAGAAAGTTTATACACTTCTCCCTCTCGCTTCTATTATTTGTTAGTCACTCTGATTTTAAAAGCTTTTTAAAAATACTGTTGTCTCTGCCAAAGTAGTTACATTGTCAGTGGCTTTATCAGTTTATATCTCCTGTTAGCACAGATAATCAAAGGCTAGATTACCTAAATGAGTGAGCACACAAACAAGCCATGGTGGTGTTGAGATAGGGTGACCAGCTGTCCCAATTTGCCTATGACTTTCCTAGTTTTAGCACTGAAATTCCTGAGTCTTGGAAAATCCATCAGACGGGCTGACTGAGAGGGTTGGTGGTTGGTCACTTAATGTTGAGAACACCAAAAAAATATATACAAGGATTCTGAACATATGTTATATTGTACTTCATTAAGTGCATTGTTTTAATTTTTCAAATCTGGATTTTGCAAGGAACCTTGGTGCAAAAGAGATTGAATGCCAAAATAACAAAAGCGCAGTCAAGTAACTGAGCTAAGAATATCACTAAATTATCAGGCCTTCTTTTTTCCCAGCGCAATAATATGCTCTAAGAAGTGAAGAAAATATAATATGCCAAATATTTTTTCTTGTGTAAATATGAAACCATATAGCAGGACACGAAATGTCAAACTAGCATTATTTCCTCTTTAATATATTTCTCTTTTAAACACACATTTCCCCAAATCCAAACCCTACAGTAACCTATTTGTACTGTAATGTTAAATCTTGGGCTGGCCTGGTGACACAGCGGTTAAGTTCGCCTGTTCCACTTCGGCGGCCTAGGGTTCACTAGTTTGGATCCCGGGTGCACACATTTGCACCACTTGACAAGCCGTGCTGTGGCAGGCATCCCACATATAAAGTAGAGGAAGATGGGCATGGATGTTAGCTTAGGGCCAGTCTTCCTCAGCGAAAAAAAAGAGGAGGATTGGCAGCATATGTTAGCTCAGGGCTAATCTTCCTTAAAAAAATAAACAAATAAAAATGTATATTTTTTAGAAAGTTAAATCTTTTATCAGTATATATTTGAACAGCTTGTAGCTGCAGAGTTTTTTAATAATTATTTTTGTGATTTGGTAAGTACATCTCCCAGAAATAATGAGAGGAGGGAAATAACTATTAGAACTTAATATGCAGTTAGCCAGTTCTGTGTTCTTAACTTTCCAGGCTACTGCATAGTCTTTTCCTCCTGTGTCAAAATCTTCTGTGGATTCAGTTGACATTCTAAACTTTAGTTTGCTTTTTGATCCAGTGAGCCTTTTCAAACAAAAGTAGAACTGGAGTTTCATTGTTAGTGGATGAACATGATAAAAAAGATTAGAAGGAGGAGGACTGTTTTTTTCTTGCTAGATTACCAGGGTTAAATTGTTATATAGTCTATAGGCTGGGGTAGAATCTGTGTACCGATGAAGATCTCAAGAAAACTTCTATACTCTTTTGGAATGGTGAGAAAGCTAGGTTTAGGAATCGACCTCTAGCCAAAATCACAAAAGGGAAAATGTTGTCTTCCTTATTTGAAAGACAGTGATAAATTTAATTTGAAGCTGGAAGCCAGTGAGTATAGTGCAGAATTAGATTTTAAGAGACATGGGACCACTTTTCTTGGCAGCAAATACTGATAAATTGGTAACTTTCTTATCCTCTAGATTAGCGTGAATGGTGACTGGACTGGATTAAGAGGATTGGAAGTAGGAGTAGAGTTGTCTGTTGGTTCAGGGGTGGCATCACAAATAGGCTGATATCTCAAATCTGGACAGCCCAAAGAAACACAGTTCATTTTCCCAATTCCCTTTACCAGCTCCCAAAACACTTATCTTGAGTTCACCTACTATCGGATTAGCACTTTATAAATTTTCTCCTTCTTGTAGTACCTTTATTTTTACTTTTGTTGCACAGAAGTTATCTCCCTTTTCTGTCTTCGATATAGTTTGCTACAGTAGGAACATTTTGATCAATTATTTTCTTTACTGCCCATACTTCAGAAGCTAAATATTACACAGAACAGAAACAACTTATTTTAGGAAGGAATTAAGTAGCTCTGAATTTACAGAAGGCGATATCATAAGGTTTCAGTGATGATCTAATTTAGAATATATGAGAATTACTTGGGAGCTGATTAAAAATGTAGGCTTCTTAGTTTTTACCCCCAAGATACTTTCAGTCTGTAGGTTTGGGATGGGTCTCAGCTACACCTTTAACAGAGAGAACAGGTAATTCTGATGTAAGTGGCCTGCACATTTTGGGAAGCAGTGCTGCAGGCAGTTATTTCAAGATGCAAAATATTTTGTGTATAGTAGGATATAGTCATGAGGCTGTGATCTTAAAAAGTGCCTTCAGTGTCTCAGGCAGTGAACCAGGTGTTCTGCCGTGCACTATAGTCATGCACCGCATAATGACATTTCAGTCAGTGTCAGTCTGAACATACAATGGTGGTCCCATAAGATTAGTACCTTATAGTCTAGGTGTGTAGTAGGCTATACTACCTAGGTTTGTGTAAGTATAGTCTGTGATGTTCAAACAATGACAGAATTGCCTAACACATTTCTTAGAAGGTATTCCCCTCGTTAAGCGATGCATAACTGTATTTCATTTGATCCTCTATATAATCCTATAAACAAGAAGTTATCTCCATTTTACAGATGAGATGAAATGACTTGCCTCAAATTATACACGTCAGCACTCAGAACTTCTGCCTGAATTCAGTAATCTTTATACTACACATCGTCTCTTAAGATCTAGAACTCTAGAATAGGAACAGTGAAAGCAGAAAGATTATTTTAACAAATGATTTCTCCCATCCTTTATTATGACCCTAAAATTACTAACCTGTCGTGGTTTTGATAATTTTTATAGTACATGAAAACTAATTTTGAAAACCACTTTCCCTGAAACTCATTTATCTAGCCAAAACTTCCTTCCTCTGTTCTTTCTCATAAGCTGTACTGAGGTACTTATTTGATCCCTTCATACTTCTTACTTTGCTCTAATATCTGGCAAAGCTCATTGTTTTAAGTGCTTCCTATGTTGCCAGTGAAATGATCAACTTTTGTACTAGGGAGAGGAAGAGAGTAGTAGCTCTTTTAATCTTAAAGGTTCTCACCTACCATGGCATCAGCTATAAAAACTACCACAAGTCACCCAAATATAAAAGCCAGAAATCACCTATTGTTAACTCGAGGCCCAAGGCTTAAAGTCACCAAACTACAGTTCCTTTCTAGCCTCCTGTAATCACAGTACTCTCTGAAGGGTCACTGTTTGCCTGGCATCTGCCACTGACCTATCAGTTATCCAGACTTTGATTTTAAACCCCAGAGTGATCTATTGACCTGTGTCTTTGACTGTTTTAATTGGTTAATTTGTAAGATTTGACCTCTGATATTTGCTAACTTTTTATAGGGAGTTGTATTTGTAACGGAAGAAGAGAAGAATAAAAAATATTAGTTTTAAAAGTGGCCTATGTGACTGCTTTTCTAAAAAGGTATTTAATGTTCTTAGTATTTTGGCTTATCTCTTTGAAATAAAGCTAATACACAGGATTACCTTCACATTGTTGTACTCTTCCTTTCTTGATTGATAATTGCATTGTCTTAGAGCCTAGAAATTGTTAATATTAGCTAAAACTACTTGGCTGCTCTATTAGAAGTTCCTTTTTTGTCAAGTTTTTCTCAAACATGTTTCTGCCTCACAAGGAGCCCCAGGTATTTATGAGGTCATGGAGTACCTAAGAGGCCTAATTTTGTGGACATATTATGGTAAAATATAATTTGGGGGTATTAACTTCCTAGCTTCTTTCTTTAAAAAATAACCCCATAAGAAGTCGTTGTCTGTCTCTGGACATCCCAATTATTTGCTATCATTTAAGCCAAGAAAGCTCTTTGGTTTGCTTTTATTCTAGGCTTAACGTTTATGTAACCTAAACATTCCCCAATCTTGTCTCCTACAGGTAGACTGGGTACAATGTGATGGTGGCTGTGATGAGTGGTTTCATCAAGTTTGTGTGGGTGTATCTCCAGAAATGGCTGAAAATGAAGATTACATCTGTATAAACTGTGCAAAGAAGCAGGGGCCAGATAGCCCAGGTCAAGCACCACCTCCTTCCTTCATAATGAGCTACAAACTACCAATGGAGGATCTTAAGGAGACCAGTTAGCAGATGCTGGGTTAGTTTGGGACATGGGGGAAAATGGACCACATTGAGACCTTAGTCATCAAGTAGTGGTTTAGATCCACTCGAAATGTTGCTTCCAAAGACGAATGGCCTTCAGAGAAAGTCCTGTTAGCTGACTTCCTCTTTGCATGGACTGTGTGATCTACATTCTCTATCAACACATCTATGCAGAGGGTGTCTTCTTTGGTTCAGCAGCCAATATTTCAGTTGATGTCTCCTCTGAGGATGGTTTGTTACATTAGGGCCAGACATTTGATTGAGCTCTAGGGTGGCTGGTTGGCATTAATACATTGGTGTGTATTACAAGCAGAGCATGTAGGTTGTGGCTTATGGCCAGTTGATATTAGTTAGAGGTTTACAACCTAGGGGCAGCACCATCTGGAGGTGCTGATTACTTGGATCTCCTTGGTTAGGATACTTGCAGAGGAGTCAAGAGTACCACTTTCCTACCACCATTACTTGGCATTTAATGCCCTACAGATACAACTAGGAGAGGAACAGGGCCGAAGTCACTCCTGTGAGAAGTCATGGGATAGTAGCACAGTCTGTAGACCTCAGCTGCTTATGTTCGTTTGTACCAAGAAGAAAACCTCAAATGAGAGGCAGATCATCTTCTCTTCTTAAGGAAGAGGATGTCATCTAGTTCAGAAATCTGACTAGATTGGATTCTGGGAAGAAGAGCTTTTCTTATTTCAAGGCGAGGAGCCTTTTTTGGCTTTGAGAAGTCTTGCTGTCTTGAGTCTACATTTTAGAGAAGAGCAGGTACATGGATCCAGGCTTCTGCAAAAGAAGAGAAGACAAGTCAGAATGTTTTACTGAGCCTCAGTGATGCATGCTTTTCCGGGAAACCTTCATTCACAAGTATACCAGATACCACCAGGCTTCAGGCATGGCCGTGAGCAAGACCAGCAAATAACAGCTTTTTGCCTTGCAGCCCCAACCCCAATGTCTGCTGTTCCAATACTGGCACTTCTGATTGTGGCCCACAGCAGATGCTGTTGAATAACACCATGGCTTCATCAGGATGGGGGGGTTGTAGTACCTCTGGGTGATGAGGTGGTTTTAGTAAATCCATTTTTAAAAAAAGAAAAAAGGACTTGTTTTTACTTTTTTCTAAGTGTCTCTGACTACTGACTGTTCTATAAATAGATTATTTTTCCTTTTTTAATATACATATATGAATATATAAATATATATATTTACTGTTACCAGCAGCTATGACAGTTTCAGCATCAAAAATCCATTTGGGGGCTTGCTTTCTCTTTTTTGCTTTGTAATAATGAAATCCCATTCCTTCCTTGTAGCACAAGAAGTTAGCACTTCCTTCTCCATCTTAGCCTGACCAGATCTTCCATCTCATTTTTGTTCAAATAGATAATTATATTTCCTTTGTATGTTGGGACTTAATCCCCGTCTGTTGGGAAAGTTGGTCTTACTGTATCTGTGCTGGCTGTTTTGTTTTGTTTTGTTTTTGTATGTCAATGTTTGAAACTATGGTGCTGTGTCCTCTTCCCTTCTGTTGTGTTCTCTATTCTTGTTAAGGTATTAGGTAAGCTGTATGGAAACTATTACTAGAAGGGGACTAATTTTTTTTTAAGGACGAAAAAGAAAAAACTCACTAAAAATAGTGTTTTGTCTTCACTATCCTGTGTCTCTTTATTTTGGGTTAAAAATCTGTGTTTTGACTTAAATTCATCAGTTTTCCTTTTCAAAGGGGGAAGCAGGGTGGACCTAGAGAACCGCGTATGGTCTCTTCCCTTTTTGCCCTAATCTCTTTTAAAGAAGTCTTCTAGTAACTAGAAGTGAAATGTACTGTCCAGTTACAGTTTGAGTGGGTATGAGATTTAACTCAAAAGGCATCTGACTGAAAAAAAAGCAAAAGCTGTCCAGTTTCTGTAAGTGCTTTCTCTGTGGTTCATACTACCTATTTTTCAGTCACTCTTCCCTCAATATTATGTAACATTTTGTGTGTTAAAGAGGTTCGTAAGCATTGCTGTGCATGTGTCTTGAGATATTATCTCAAGTGTGTGTATGATTTAAGATTTCAATGGATATTGCAAGGTGTAACTAATTAACCAATTTCATAAGTTTTCATTTTTCCACATTATGTAAAGATATTACTTAGTTAAAAATTTTATCTGGTTGATGTTACAGAAGAAAGCACAATATTTTTTGCCTTTTGGTCTTCTCTGTAAAAATCTTCAAATACTTTTGGGTTAAAAATTCGATGCAATTTTAAGTCATGGCTGCCTGGGACACGTTCAAAACTATTTTATTTTTTCTTCTTAGTCACCTATTAACTACTCGACCATTAGTGGAGAGGCACAAGGATGCTGAGAAAGATGGCTAAGGTGCTTTGCTTCTTGGAGTATGGTGGATGGACATAGGTGGCTGTTGAGGGAATAATTTATATCCTTAATGTGGTATTTGCCTGCTGGAGATGGGAGAGAAAAATGCAAGGCAGTCTCCAACCATGAATAGCTTCTTGTTTATCTTTGGACATTTTGAAACTTAGATAAATCATTTAATTTATACTGTGGGATTTTCTGTATTTATTTGAAAGTCAGAGAGGTTTGGTCTGACTCACAATCATAGATTTAGACCAAAGTTGAGAAGAACAGATAAGAATAATTAGTAAAAAAAGAAAAGAAAAATTAAAATACACAAATCTACAATTTTGGAATTAATGAACTAAGATTCATCTGTTTAAAGAAATGCTGATATTCTAATATAGCACATTGTTTTCAATTAGAGGAAGTTACTTATTTACAACTTACTCCATTCTTCAATATTGTGACATTTTATGTTAAAACTTGATTTAAAATGTTTCTTTACCCTTTCTAACTCCTCAAAGTTGCACTTCTTCACCATTAGTATTTTAACTTATGTATTAATTCTTTCAAAGGTATTTCTTACCACCTTCATTGTAAACAGTTTTGGCAAAGGTTGTAGAAAAAATGAGAAAATGGTAGGTCTTTGATAAATTTCAAAGGGTAGGTCATTAGAACTATGTGAGTCCCAAGTTTCTAAGTACAACTATAGTATTAGTAGTTAGCTTTCTTGTTGAGGGGGAGGGGACATTTTCCTCCCACAAGTGTTTCTTTACTTCCTGGTAGTTACTGCAAGAGAGCCATGTTGAGATGTAGGTGCTAGGCTCCCTTACTAAGCTGCTGCCAATTAGCTTTGCGTTGCATGATTCAAATTTGTGCCTCAATAAATTACAAATTACTGTATGTATTTTTTTTGAATAATTGAAAAGGCAAACATTAAATCTGTAATTGCCCACAACATACTTTAGTAGTGAAAACCCTAAAAAAGGCTAACGGACCTTTGAGATTGGAACAGTTTTATCTGTACTCACTTGTGTTCTTCTCTGCTTTTGTCTTTAAGCGTCCAAGAAATGTCAGTTTATTTGTTTTTCTTAATTTTTAGATTCTGGCTGCAATTTGGTGCACATGAAAAAAATTCCCTTCTTGTCAGTATATTAATTCTATAGTATATTTGTGTGAATATCAGCCAGTACTAAAGTAGGAGGATAAAAGGAAAACTTGAGAAAGCTCTTCTTTCAAATGGTAGGATTATCCACTTTTTAAAGGAGAAAGTGACAATATGGAGTAGGATTTGAAAATTGTAAATTGCAGAAAAATTAAGCTGTTAAAGTCCCACATATAACCAGGTTCAATAAAGGTTTACATATGAACTAGCTTCATATGTGTGTAGAGTTGATTTTGCAGTAAATCCTTAAGTACACATTTTAAAAAGCAGGCAGTCAATTTGCCTTTTTACCTTTTAGAATCCTCCTTTTTTTTTTTTTTTTTTTTTAATTTAAAGCATATCATTGCTTCTTTGGATATGGATGTGCCAAGTGGTATTTACAGCATGAGAAGGAAAGAATGGATGGTAATGTATTTTGGAATTGCAGTCTTCTCTTGGCCTGGGTCATATCCAGTCACCACTATGCAACGAATGATGTGCATCAGGAAAGGACAGGACGGGTTTTTAAAGATGCATCCTGCTTAGTACTTTTGCAGTACTCCAAGATGTCTGAACAGGAATGTCTTTTGTAAACCTCAAGACCCTCTATTGATTATTCCCTTGCATATTTATTTACCTGTTGGTGAGACACAAATATAATATGGACTCTAATTTACCAGGGTTTTTGATGGTGCCTTATGAAAAAGTATAACTTGATTTCTTGTTTTTTGAGCATGTTTTGTGTTTCTTTTGTTTTTTGAAAGAATGCCAGATATGGTTATTTGCATTACATCTAAAAAATAAAAAAAATTGTGTGTGCTCGGGTTCCCGCCACTCCGTCATTTACATTAGTGGCAACTCTAAATGGTAACCATATAAAATAGGTAAATTTTGGCAATGAGTATTGATGATCCTGAAGAAAATTAGTAAGTATACGAGAGCCCCTTTTAACCTGTGCCAGAGCAGTTCCTAATATTGCATTTGCTCTCTATAAAATAAAGAACTGGCCTCAAATAATTGCATAAGTGGTGTGATGAGCATATTACGTTGCTGGGATAGTGTTTTCAGAAAGTGTAAAGTGGAAGAAGTGATTCCTGAAGGTTTTACCTGTCCCTCTGTTTTCAGCAAGAATCCAGCGATGACCAACAGACATTTCCCCACCTTTGATTCTTGAGCAGTTTATTCTTTGCAGTGAATGAGTAATAGCAGGGAAAATGAAGACAGACTTTCCTTTGGCCTCCTAATACTTAAAACTAGTTCAAACTGTAACTTCTTACAAGTAAATAGCCCTTTTTTCTCATTGCCGGAGTTACCAGGTCATGCAGGCATTGCTGAAGATGTTAAGGTTCTGCTTGCAGTGAGATCGGCCTCAAACATGAAGTGTGTGACTGTCACTGTGTGTCTTGGGGAGAACTTAGTGGGAAGAAAGAGGGAAAAATCTGGTTATCTCTTAACCTTGGCAAAGAATTTTCTTGCCAACAAAAAAAAGACACCCAAAATTTCATAAGGTGAGAAATTCTTCTTTTAAAAAATTTTGTGGGAGGCTCCCAGTTTAGATTAAGTATTTCTTGAGGCCTTGGTGGTGTGATTGATACCAATAAATTGAATATCCAGAATCTCTTTATGGAAAGCTTAGCTGTGAATTGGGAAGTCACACGTGATATAAGTAGAAAACAATACAATCAAACACTATGTGAATAAACAGAGTGATTTTGGAATTTCTTTTCTCATCTGTTTGCTCTTTAAAGTGTATATCTATTCTACTTTTAATAGGAGGAAAGGAGATTTAATTAATATTTCCATACAGTAAAGTTCCATGAAATTTCTTTACTAGGCAAGGATTTTCTCTAACCTTGTCTTTTGGAGCTAGATTGTGTATCTTGTTAACGGAAAAAAGGGCACCACAGAAACCTTAAGAATGACTTAGTGGTTCTGTCTGGTGATGCCTGTGTTAAGGAACTCTGATGAGTTGCCAGGGGTATAAGGATGAAGTCAGAATTTTCTGTAGTCAAAAAAAAAAAACCTTCAAAAGCCAAGATGAGGACTTTAGGATTACATAAGGTAAAGAAACACTGGATTTAGGAATCAAATAATCTTGAGTTTTAGCTCTATGTATGACCTTATGTTAGCTCTTTTGAGTCTCAGTTTCCTACCGTGTATGGGTTAGTTCGTGTGGACAGGAAGACGTTTAAGTTACAGGCCCTCTCCTTGAGAGAGAGTAAGACATAATGATGATTTTTAAGGATGTTTTTTACTAAAACTTTTATAGAATTTAAAGAGGAAGATAGTAAAAGAATTTTGGACGTGTAGTCCAAATCCCCATTTAATGATAGAAAAATCTATTCATTACTCCCAAAGAGGGAACATACTGGGGCCAGCCCGGTGGTGCAGCAGTTAAGTTCTCACGTTCCACTTTGGCAGCCCGGGGTTCGCCGGTTCAGATCCCAGGTGTGGACATGGCACTGCTTGTCAGGCCATCCTGTGGCAGGCGTCCCACGTATAAAGTAGAGGAGGATGGGCATGGATGTTAGCTCAGGGCCAGTCTTCCTCAGCAAAAAAGAGGAGGCTTGGCAGCAGATGTCAGCTCAGGGTTAATCTTCCTTAAAAAAAAAGGAACATACAACCTATATTGAATAGCTATCCTATTTTTAGAAAATGTAAGTATTGGTCACTTAACATCCATATGAGAGCTTACCCATAGTTTTCCCTTCGTTTGGTCTGAATTTTGCAGAGTTCTTTGTGCACTTATGTATGCTTCAAGACTGGCATCTTGCCATTCTATCTAGTGCCGAACTCTGTGGAGATGGGCAAGGATATCAGACATTTTGACATACCTAACTATGCCAGTCCCTCCTGAATTGGTACCTGGACCTCGTGAGTAATATTTTTTCCCCCAGTCAAAGTATAGGCCCCTCTTCTCTCCATACTAAGCTGCATTCTGCTGAAACCAATAGGCCATCTGAGCACTGGCAGCATTAGTCTTCCTTCTGGCCTAACCCTGCCATCTTCTATACTTAGGGCTAAACTTTGTTGAGACACAAAACAGATTATCATTAATGTTACTTCTGGAACCCAGAACAATTCAAGCACATTTAAGTCTTGGTCAGTGCCTAGTGCCTATGTTTATTTTGTCATAGAAACTTTGCTCCAGAGTTCCAGTTGGAACATTGAGGCTGGTTTAGTTCACTTTGCTTCTTGTCCCTGTAATTCTTTGTGGCCATCTAAAATAGAAGCCCATCCAGTCATCAGTCGTTTCTCCTCATATTCCTGTGCTGTTACCTGCTATGTTCAATTCATTTTCCCATTCCTGCCCTTCCTGCCAATTCTTTGCATTCTACGAGACACTTGTTTCTATATCCTTTGTACATAAACTTTCCTATTTTTTCATTAACTGGAACCTGGCTCTCCCTCAGCCGTATTTATGTTGGGGCTATTTCAAATGAAGGATGCTCATTTTCTCACTTTACTACTACAAGGTGTGAACTGGTGGATTATAGGGGCTTTTGCCCCTGTATTCCTGATTTTTCTTACCACACTTTGAGGCCTCTGCTATTCAGCTGTACCGTCCATCCTCATCACTGTCATCTCTGGTTACTCTTTTACATTCATTGAGGACTTTGATGGTTCATGGTGTCTCTGCCCCAGCCGTGCCATTATTCTGGGCAATATCGTTGGTCATGGATGACCTTACAGTTTCTGGACCTCCACCTCCAATAATCATTTTCACACCATTTAACAAATCAATTTCAAGGCCATACCTTGTACTCTGTCAAAATTTCTGAAATGTTAAATTCTAGGATCCTGTTCATACTAATTTTTAATATGTTGTCCTTTGATCTCTTCCTCTCAGTATGTTTACTCTTTGACTGCAATTCCTTAGTCACTTTTTTCTTCCGTTCTGTCAGTTCACTCTGGATTCACCCCCTTTCTTCTCCATTTAGCGTAGACTGTGTGGCCCATTGCTCACTCATGATCTGTTGTTTCCCAATCTCTCTGGCCCTGCAGAACCTTGTCCCTGGATCATTTTAGCCATCTGACTCTTGCTCTCATGATCTGCTGAATACTACTGAGTGGCATCACAAATTGACCCAAGTAGGTGGCTCTCAAAGCAGTTCAGCAGCCCGAATGATCCAGCAACCTCTTCAGTTCTTAAAGACTATTTCAGAATTTCGTCTCCCCATCCCACTACCTCTCTACCCTCAGCAGAGGCCTACCTCCTAACACTGAAGAAATTGAAGGTTACTAGGAGAGCTCTAGGCTTTCCTGGTCACCTCTACCAACAACGTCCTCATCTGTCTCAGGAGAGGTGTCTGTTCTCTGGCCAACACTGAATGTGTAGGCAAATGAGCAAGTCAGTGAATCCCATCCCATGTTAACTACTTAGGAGACCTTATTCCATCAGTCACCTCCTCTCTTCTTTATCTTCAGTGTCTCCTCTCTCTCCCTTATTTAGCATATAAGTGTGCTCAAGTCTCTCCTATGTTAATATTCTTCCTTGAACCTATCTCACTTCTGCTCTCTTTTTACCTTCTTTCTTTTGTGGCCAAGCCCCATTTGTTCTCTCTACTTCACTTTCAGTTCATTTCTCAGTCTATTGTAATCTGGATTCTACCCTCAACATTCCACTGAAATTACTCTTACTAAAGTCATCAACTAAATACATATTGCTAAGTCCAGTGGACACGTCAATTCTTGACCTCTCTTCAGCATTTGACACTGTTGTCCATTCGCTTTTTAAAACTCCTCCGTTGGCTTCTTGGTCACAATTTTTTCCTAATTTTTCTTCTCTCTAGCTGCTCTTTAATCAGCCTCTTTTCCTGTTTACCCCCTTAAAATGGTGTCGTCAGAGGCTCTTCTCTATATACTCATCCTCAATTGCCAGTTTTATTTATGTTTCCCAAATCAATGTCACCTGCCCATGCTCGCTCTTTGCTCTTTAATCAACCAGTAAACATTTCCACTTGTATTTGTTTTAAAAACTCATTGTGTAAAAGCCCAAACTTGCCTCCTTACCACACTGACACCACTTCCTTTCTAGAATAGCTAGTTGCCCAAGCCAAAATTCTGTGAACCACCTTATATTCTTTCTGCCCACTCACTTCCTGTATGCAATTAGATCACTCAATCCTTTAGATTCACTAGTCTTATCTTTATCTCCATCTCCTCTGTTCCCATTGTGATGCATTAGTTCAAGCCCTTATCACTTTTCACCTAGATTTCTATGCTAGTCTTTAGTCTAGTCGATCTCTAGTTTATATTCCAAATTACTACCAGAATGAACTATCTAAAGAGCCAATCTGGGGCCGGCCCAGTGGTGCAGTGGTTAAGTGGGCACGTTCTGCTTTGGTGGCCTGGGGTTCACCGGTTCAGATCCCAGGTGTGGGCGTGGCACTGTTCATCCAGCCATGCTGTGGCAGGCGTCCTACATAGCAAGTAGAGGAAGATGGGCACGGATGTTAGCTCAGGGCCAGTCTTCCTCAGCAAAAAGAGGAGGATTGGCAGATGTTAGCTCAGGGCTGATCTTCCTCAAAAAAAATTTAAAAACAGCCAGTCTGTTCATTACATTGTCCTATGGAATCTGCCTCTGTTTACCTTTCTAAGCTCCTCTGCTTCCACAGACATCCTCAGTCACTGTGCTCAGACACACAGATTTTCGTTTCCTTATACATGCTAAGCTCTGTCTGGAATGCTCTTCTAGCTCTTTCGTTCTTGAGGTGTCAGTTTAAATGCTGCCTCTTCAGAGGCCTTGTTGTCTTTCACAACAGCTTCTTCTACTCCCTGTGGGACTTTGCAGTATGTGATGTATTTGTTTATGAGTTCTATGA